TACGCAAAGGAAACAGGTTCAAAATTCCCATTTTTTACTTAAAAGAGGGCTAATCAATGAGTGAAAGTAATTATTTCACCTAGTCATCAAGAGATATTTTAAACTGCATTTTGGATACACACAGATACTACAATGGATTGTAACCATTCCAGTCGAGTCCTTGACTGTCATCCTTTACCTACAGTCAGGAGGAGACTTTCTAAGCAGTGAACAGGAGGTCAGTATAATGTCACCGATATTAAGCAGAACTCTCAAATTAATCAGGAGTTCACCTTAAAATACCAATGGCATAACATGGCTCTAAGCAAAGCCTATGCAGTAGAGCCCTAAATGAAGTTTCAACCTGAACACCACCTTTCTTTACAGTAAAATTATTTTATAAAATACTAGAAAAGTTTGAATAAAGAACTTTTCATAGCAATGTTTTAAACAGTAGTTGTCTAGTGCTGAAACAAATCAGTCTGAAACTGAAGAACTATGAAGCTCGTGGCCTATCTGAAAGAGATGCAAAACATAAACCAACATACAATGTGAAAACCAGGTGTTTATACGGTCAGCTTTATAATTTTGCATACTGCTAACAAAAATGGGTTGTAAACAGGCTTTCAGCCTTACTGGCTTTACAATAAAGTTCTTCTTTCTCCCTACTATTTACTTAATGTATATTTATTTTTCCAGCTAACAAGCAATTTCAAATTCAACCATCTAAACTCCTTTTTTATTGTAAAATATCAAGGCAGAAAGTTAGACTAGTCCAACAGCAGCCTCCACGGTAGCGCTAATAAAATTGTAAAGGATTTTTTACTCGCAATTGGTGAGCAACTCAACCCATAACATTTCTACAGTTCTGTTTCGTACCTCATAATTGAGCCAAAATACAAACAGTTTAAGAAGCCAAGTTTGAGTAACTATTCTGAAATTTTGCTTGGAGTTCACTTTGCTTGCTTGTGGAGGAAAAGATGAGAGGAGGAAACAGCAGTGGTGGTTCAGGATTAAGACTGAGGTTAACATTAAAGCTACGTCTGTAATCTTACGACTGGAGACCAAACTTACTGCTCAGTTCCCATTAGTGCTAACAGGAATAAATTACCCCTCCACATAAAAAAAATAGCAAGAAAAACATAACTATTAGCATAATTTAGTACAAATAATTTTCCTTTGCTGAAAAGAATTAACTTGCTTTTTGCTATGGGAAGTGAACTTACACAAACACAGCTGCTGCAGATATGCCTTTTGTGAACAAGAGTTCCCTCAGTTCAGAGACAGTGTGCTTGGAAGCATCTCCATAAACCACTGCAGAAATTCAGTAAACATCTGCAATTAATACTGCTGAGATTACATTTAGCAACCAGATGATACCATTACAAATGCTTCAGAAGAAAGCTTTTGCTTTTCTTTTTTTTTTACTTTTAAAAGGATTAAAAATACGTAAGAAACCACAAAACTCTTCTCTTTCCTATAATTTTAAACTGAGCAAACTACCAGTCCGGGCCTCTGCCAGTTTAACTCATGCCAGAAACTTTGTCTGATGTCCTGCCAGCACACTGCTGCCTAGATTTTTAGTTTAGCCGAAGATTACATATATTCACCATATATGACCCACAGTTAACTGCTTCAATGTGGAGTGTATGTGGTGCCCACCCAGCAGGCCTGTGTACGCAGATGGATTTCACCCTAGATACTCTCCAAGTCTTATTAACACCTTTTTACGGTGGTAGGTTCACAAGAAGAATAAGGACAATTACGTCTAAAAGCAAAAAAGGCAATTATTTGATGAACGCTAAGGAAAAGGAGTGGGCAGGGGCTCGGGGAAAAGGTTTGCTTCTCGTCAGTGGGACTGCGTGTTAAATGGGATTTTGTTTTGGATTGAAAGGCAGCTTTCCCGTGTCACCCTGCAAGGTGCTGCTGCGGGTGGGACAGAGGCAGCAGATGGCTGTCTCCTGCCTGCCGCGGGTGCAAACGCTGCTAACCTAATTGCTGCTGCCTTGCAGGTGTGGAACTGCTTGCCAGAGTAGGTGCCACATTGCATAATTTCATTGATTACAAGCTTTTCAGGTATTTAGGAGTGTTACGGTTAAATTTACTGCTGGCAGAGCCAGGGGAGCAAAGCACACCTCTGCTGGGCTGGGATGCTGGGACAAGGTGGGCCTGGCCCTGGGGGACTGGGGATAAGCAATAAGCACCATGGTCACCTGTTGCAGTCACCTGCTGAACATCAAAGTTGGCTTTCACTTGGGACATGTTTAATGGGAATGGCTTCCCACACTAAAAGGTCAATATTCCACACAGTAGCCAGGAGGTGTGGGTATTTGAGACAGCTCAGGCTTGCTTTCCTATATTCCCTCCCTGCTAATCTCTTCAGAGCAACATCAACACAAAGAGCCGGCCAAGTGCTCAAGGAACCATATCTGGGCAGTTAACTCCTCATTGCTTTCAAACAGCATTTTTCTAGAGTCCCCCAGGTGATGCTGGCAGCAAAGGAGGAAGGCAGCAGCTTCTCCCTGGCATCCCTCAGTCTTAACACTATAGGGATTCTAAATTTTTTTACTTTTTTTTTTAACTGACAACTGTCCCACTTATGACCCTGTCATTATCTTTAGAACAGTGGGTCATCGTGACTGATTTCTATTATTTATAAATGCATGAAAACAGAACAAATGTGTGCAGTAAATACATTTAAATAAAAATTGACAAGATGCTTTTATTGTTTTCGATTTGTACAAAAGCATAACTTAAAAGGCAGACTAGTAGAAACGTACTTTGTGCCAAATATTTAAACTTTTCATTCCAAAGATTTTCTGGTTCAAAACTTGTAGATACAGTTTGGGAAATCTCCTTTTTAGACCTCAGATAACACAGTATTGTAAAATCAAAACTCTGCAGTCCTTCAACCAAGCAAAAGTTGCATTCTGCTTCGATTGCCAGAGTTTTAGCTACTCAGTGAATGGATCATATGAAACATGAGCCATGATGGAGCGACCTGATGAAAAGTCAGTTTGACTACTGCTCATTTGTGTTCTGAAAAAAGATGTGCATTAGGATCTGTGACATGCAATCATAGCAAAGAGTGATAAATATATGTGTAAAAATAGGGTGACTTGTTTGGATTTTTCTTTGCTACTTCATACCAGCCAGAAGTAGCCTAAGAAAACCTATGTTACTTAAGCGAGTCCCAGATGTCATGCAGAAGCTCAATTATTTCTTAAATAAAAGAAAGCTTTCACTCTGATTTTGCAAGTGGGTTTTCCTTTGCACAGGTAACATTGTCTCAGTAAGCCCGAAGGTTTTTCTCAGTCTTTGCTGCCATCACACCACAGCTGTACCCACCTTCCAACTCGGGTGGAGTGGCAGTCTTTGCTGACAACATCTCCACAGACGTTCACCTCCGTTGGAAAAAGACTCCCACAAGAACAAGCAGGATACCTCCCTGAGATGCCCTTTCAAGAGTGTCCAGAGTGAGAACGTTACTTCAAAAGCTACTTTTCCCACAGAACAGGGCTTGCTGTGCTTCAGTGCTATCAAGAAGGCTAGCGCAAAGCTAGACTCATGTTCTTGTCATCCAGTATCCAAGTGCAACTTCCTGGAATTTTAAAATGTGGTGGATGCACTGCGTGACAGCAGCTGTACAAGAAATGCTGCGCAGCTGCACAAGTGTTCCACAAGACCATCTGGAGGAAAGTACCAAAAATAGATGCGAGCAAGCCTTGTGTATTTCAGCAAAATTAAGCATAAAGAAATTGTTGTCCATGCAGTGTTTGATATGCCATAAAAACTCTTTCAAATAACGTTTGATGAGGAAACTATTTATCGGTGAAAATGCAAGCTTAGACACTATGAACAGTTTACATCTTGTAGGTGTTCACTGGTATGGAACAGTGGGCGTTAGAACCAGCGGCTCACCTTAAAGTAGGTAACTCATGGGTTTGCAGACGAGCTAGTGTTTTATGGTGCTGTACAAATAAAAAGTTGTGGGGAGTATATGAAATATCTGTATTAAACTCCACTGCATTATTTTATCCAATGCATGAAAAATGACCCAGATGCATTTAAAATAAATGCATATTACAATATCACATATAGTATTATAAAATTATTACTTCTGTGCACAGTCCTGATATCTATAGACATGGCACCGTGAAAAAAGCCTGGTTCCTAAGCATTTTTACAGATAACTTGATAGTGATGCAGGTTGCTATCAGTCAGATCATAATGTCCCTTCAACTTTGGTACATTCAGTGCAAAATATTTTGGGAGTTTTTACTCTTATAAAAATAAAAGGCATTTTTTCCCTTGAGAGTGCTTAAAGAATAAACACTAGCAGAATGTCTGTTCAAGCATGGAAAGTGACAAAAACAGAAATAGCGTTTTAGTTTGCTTATTTCCTGTTTACACTCTAAGAAACATAATATAATGAACCTATAAAAATAAACAGAAGTCACCGTGTTAGGGTTTTTTTCCTGATATGCTGTGATAAATCGCTAGTTTCTTCTTAAAATAGTTTCCATGCAGTATAAAGCATAAAATCAGCCTTATTAAGTTCATTATAACAGCTCATCTTGTTGTCATACACACCACTGACAAAGACATTTCCACAAACCTCCTTAATGCAAGCCATTGTCGTTACATCCTTTGCTGCTGACTTTCCTTCCAATTCACTTCTGCCCCAGGAACTCAAACTCTGGTGCACACCATGCAGCCACCTGTAGTCTTAGGTAAAGCAAGTACTGGATATGCTATTATAACCTATGGCATAAAGTAATGTACCTTCATTAATTTAAAAAAAACAAAAAAAAAGAAAAGAAAAAAGAATCTAAAAAAATCTATTGTATGATTTTTTGATAATTTACTGGGTAGGTAAGGGGCTGAATGATTTCACATTTCAACTGGAATTTGCTATTCAACAACTTTGATGAAATTAAGTTTCTGGGTACGTGTCAGTTTTGCAGTAGCAAGGTTGACCACGATATGGGATCACGGTTTTTGTTTGCTCAAAAACGATATGGGATCACGGTTTTTGTTTGCTCAGAACATAAACTGAAGAAATTTGGCCATCCTGAAAAACCATGGATTGCAAGATTTGGTTTTCCCTGCGTATCAGGCACACTCCAGTTTCACTGTAGAGAATTTTGCCACTACCACAATGCTTTTTAGTTGCCTCATAAGCTCATTCATGGAACCTCATTATTTGAATTGCACCGTGAAACAGTTTCCCTCTAGGAAATCCAATACAAACGTTCATTCATTCCTTGAGAAGACAGATCCACAAAAGTCCAATGAGCTGGGCACTGTGGTTTGTGTATCACTCAAGTCCAAAAGTACTTGTCTCTTCAACTGCTGTCAACAGTTTTTCATATAACATAGAGAACGATGGATAAGGGGGAAGGTCCAGACGATTGAAACAAGTGTGAGCCCTGGAGGGGGAAAAAAAGAGGAGGTGAAGAAGTACGTTATTTAAAAAGTTCAAAAGAGAACACACAGACTGGTATGTGCTTGCATAGAGATGGGCAGATAGCATTCTTTCAGGAGACTTTGTTCTGTCAAATGATGTTTTCCAATCGAACAGGTAGTGAGGTTTAATCTACTTTCTTCTAATTAAAATAAGCCAGTAAGAAGTATTTATGAAGGTCTTTAGAAACACGCTGACAGCTCAAAAGGCATGGGATAAATTTTATCCATTAAATGTGCATGAGAAAATAACGGTATAGCATGGTACAATTCAAATAGTCTGTTCTAAATCTTGGCTTTAAACGTATCTTCTGTGAAGTAGTACTTTTTTCTGTACTGATGATACTTGAATACTGTATTTGTAATCATAAACAAGGTATTTCAGTATATTGAATATGCATAAGATATTGGATTTGATGAAATATTTAAAAAAACACTCTAGATATACAGGAAACAGTCCCACAGTAGTAAAGGACAGGCAAATTAGATGCTCTTCATTCTACGTTTCCTTAGCATATGGATTGTGTTCTTGGGAAGTTACTGCTTGTGTTGATTTACACTAGGTACATACCTGGCCCTGCAAGCCAATGACCTTTAGAATAGTACTGTTTGTAATTACACAAAACTATGCACGTACCTTCAGCGTACCACCCTGCTTTCTTAAGAGGACAACCACATGATTTATTTCTCCGTTTCTGAAGTTCACCTGCCTCCATTTTTTGACATACTTGGAACTGACTCTCAAAACCTCTTCCAGGGAATGAAAAGGGAGATAATGAAGGTTTCTGCTCATAGCAGAATAATGGCTTATCAGTGCCTGACCTCAGGGCAGGCTAATACTTTCTAAAACACTACAGTGGATGAACCTGCTCTAGTGAAATAGATAGCATAGCTATTAATGCCATCAGTTCTTGAGGAAGAAATGATGCAAAGAGAAGCTGGAGGAAGCATCTTTTCTGCTTTGAAGCTTTGTCCCAAGCCCTCACTTCAGACTGGTTTTTAGAGGATAAAAACATTTTTGTATTTTGGCAGGTCTCTTTTTGCAAATACTTTATTCTTTTGCAATAAAACTCATCACAGAGTTATTTAAATACAATCCAGCTGAAAACTAAACTTTCCCTGCAGTGACCTGCCCTTTATCAGTATGACCTGTATTAAATGGAAATGGAAAGAAGGACATCAATGGAAGGACCGAACAAACTCCCTCCTTGCAGCAAATGCAACTCCCAGAAATCTGAGTGTCTACAACAGACCTGTACTGAGTTTCTACTGAGCTAGAAAGTGCTGTCTTCCATGGGAGCAAATGTATTACTTGCTGTTTTAAGTGGCTCTCAGCTGCCAACTACAGGGATGGAACATGAAGTGAAGTGGGTTAATCTCATTTGTTAAAAACATAAGAGTCCATTACAAACCCTCAATGACGGTGAGACATTCTCCTAGTTACAGCCTTATAGTGTCATAAAAACATCAGGCTGAAGAAATGTATACACAGCACAGAAGGTGCTACTGCTATTATAAACACAGTCCAACATCAAATATGCCATCACTTAAAAAAGCATTGAATTTCGCACCCTCCCCAAATACAGTACGGTTACAAGTAACACTGCTATGCTGTTTAGCAGAGAGGGCATTTCCCTACCCTGTATTCCAAGGGCCTGATAAAATTTCTCTACCCTTCCATCCCTCTAAGGCTCCTGGAGGAAAGCTTTCTTTGTACTCCTTGCTTGCCTCTTCAAAAACCTTACAAAGTATATCTGTGATATAGATTAAATTATTATTCCATTTCCTACACTTTAAAAAAAAAATAAAATATTTGCCTTTTGAAGACAGAGACTGATTTAGACCCAGCAGTAAATGCGCAACTGGAACTCAGTGATCCCTTGAGTTCAGTGTAGAGCGTAGAAGAGTCTTAGGCAATTAACAGTCTAACCACACGATTCTGCTGCATGGGTCTGACAGCCACTAATTAGAACTATGGATCATGCTGTGTGGGCTGTAAAACCACAAATTATAACAGACATAGTATATAATTAGCAAGAGAATCATTACAAACTGGTTTAATAGTAGGCCGGCACGTTGTTTACATTTATTAAGAGAACTGAGTTTTATCTTAATTTTGAGGGCAATTTTGAAAATGCAATCACCTACTTTGGAAAACCAAGTCAATAAAAAAGACAAAAACTTAAGATCTTTGTCTTCTGAGGGAATGCATGCCTTTCTCACCCTAGCAAACAACTTCGTAAGTCTTCAAGAAGAAAGTGTTTTTTTCCCCCTCTGGACAGTATTTTCCCATTCCAACATTTCAAACCACATGGGCACTAACTATTCATCTTCCTGGACTCCCGTTTTACGACAACACGAAAAAACATCTTGGTTCTTGAAGTTTAAATTCCAAATTAATCTCCTCTTCATCTTGATTACAATACTAAAATATAGTAACTCAGGGTTAAAATTCAGCAGTCAGACATAAAAACTATTTGCATAGTTAAGCTAAACCTGTAATAATCTTTTCAGTGACTTTTACATACTACTGACTTACCAGTCTAAAAGACAGTGACAGAAGCCAGGCAACCTGACACGTGCCTCACAGAAATCTCACTATTTTGATTCAGCAGAACTGATGACACAGCAGTCAGAACAGTGGGAACTAGGTAAATATCTAGTGAAAGCTTCTGTTTATATTCACAGCTACTAAGACCACAATCACACAGCTAAGTAATTACAACAGTAACAACTATATTAGTTGCCTTCTCTGTCTCAAAATCCAGAAGAAGGGATGAGGATGGGTTTTCAGCAGCGCAGTAGAAAAAGAAGAAGAGACATGAAGTCCACTGACTTGTTGAGTCCTAGCTTTTGCCACCCTCATACCATGTATTATCAAATTTCACAAGCACTCCCACTGAAACCAAAAGGGCAATTTGAAAAGTAGAACACTGCAACGAGTGAGTGACGGTGCCTTAACACAAATGCTTTAGTTATCTGAGAATCAGTAAGAGTCACAGAGTCCTAGGGCAGCATTCTCCGCAGATCCAGTAATGTGTTTACATACGCAGGGCTTGTTTGGAAACCTCTGGGAAGTTTGCTACTCGGGGTCGTTGTTAACAATGTCTTACCTTCAAGCCAGTCCTACTTGGTGTTTGCACAGTAAGTCTTTGAAGCTGGTGAGACGCAAGCTGAAGCCACACTGCACGCAGGAACTAGATACGTAAAAATGCAAACACTGCTCTCTGCTGAGGGCTTAGCCCATTTAAGCATAAACATGGAAGATCATGTATTTTTTTAATGAGATCAAGGTTCTATGTACGAATGCCAGGAATGGCCAGGTCATGACAACTGTAGATGTTTGTCACTCACAGTTGCTTTTATTTTAACAAAACAAGCGTGTTGTTGGTTTATTTTAATTCTCACACTTGTATGTTAAAAACTATCCACAGAGAATTTCAAAGGCGTGATACATTCTCCTAAAATGTGAAGGGTTGGCATTTCCTCACACTCACTGAACACCTTGTGGTAGCCAAGATTCTTGACACGTTTGTTCATGATGCACTACAGGAAGCAGTTTTAATCTGCAGTTTAATACAAGGGCTATGCATACCCTTTCCAGAGGAAATTCTGAGCACCCCGTTCTGGCACGTCCTGACCTTTTCCATGCTGCAGACTGTGCTTGTTAGCACTAAGAATTTCAGTATTAGAAAATATATGGGAAAACTCCCACAATCGCTTTTCTTACTTAAACTTGCATGAAAATCTTGTATTTTGAAGTCAGAAATTATTTTTAAAAAATAAAAGCTTTTTCTTCTTAAACAGAATCAAAGCTAGTCCATAGGTCAATCATAATCCAACTATAAAGTAGGCTGCAAGGTATTACTAGCCCCTCAAAAGATATTAGAGTATTTGATTTGAAATAGAAATTTCCAGAATTTGCTTATCTTTAATCCTCAGTTGCCTGGCTCTCATTTGTACTATAAACTGGTGAGATGGCTTTATTTAAAGGCCCCCTGCTGTGCCTGTGGATTCCACAGTGCCACTTCTGCCTCTCTGGCTTTCTCAGTGCGGTTCAAATGGCTGCCTGCAGGCAGGAGCCAACCCCAGAGACGTCTCTGCCTCTGACTTTATACTGGAGGAAAAAGGTAAAGGTTGTTGATCAGAGAAATCCTCTGTGTGTCTGACAGCCACCTTGCATCTAAAAAGAGGCTCTGAATGCAAGTTATTCCTGAGGAATCTTGTTTAAGAGGAATGGGCTAGGATTAGGGTTGAATTTCCTCCATGGATCAGCCCAGCCCAAAACTGCCACCACAGGCTATAAGCAGCATACTAAAGCTGAGATCTGATTAAGTAGAGTTAGTTCACCCACACTCCCCACACTAATCTGTGTGTCTAACCACTGTTAACCCATTCTAGAGGCTACAGAACAACAGAAATGGATGAAAGGAAATCTTCCAGAAACACATCGGCCCTGTCACAATATAGAAAAGACTGGAACCTGTACACTTTGGTTGATGAAGTGCTCATGCTAGAAGATGTTTCATGCATCACTCATATATTATTAACCTAGTCCTGGTATTGTTACCACTGACCTTTGAAAACAGCTCTCTCTTATTCCTGTGCTGCCTGTTAAGTCAAAATATACCTCTTCTGCAGTTCATAACTTGCCTCTTCCATATTTGTTGACTCTTGACATCAGACAGAGCATAAAAATTACATTACATTGGTAAAGGCTACGTGTGTCTAATGCAAAAAGTCTGATATTAGCTCAGACACAGCCACAAGTGCTATTTAATTTTAATTCATATTAATTTTTGCTCCTAAGTGATGAACTACATAGTCAGGAAGTAAACACTTGCACATTTAATCAAATGTAACGAAATCAAAATCTAATCAAAATACCATTCTAATATAATCTTCCATGAAAAAAGCATTACAATGTGGATGTCAGCCACAGTCACATTGTCTTGTCCATCTCTTGAGAACAAAACTGAGTTCAAAGAAAAATGGATGCATCAGGCACTGGAACAATGGGGAAGGAAATTTTCAAGTAAGGCACAGTATATTTGCATATTCAGTTAAAACTTATGTTTCTCAAACAGCCTGCTATCCCAGTAACTGATACTCTAAAGTATTTCTAGTACCTTGGAAGAGCAGTGATCTTCCCCCACTTCTCTACGCAGAACCTTCTTGGACCATTGCTCCCCCGTAGAGAGGCAAATCCTTCGTAAGGTATGCTGGACGTGCCTGTCACAAACTGCCCGCAAAAACACAACGTGACGGATTTTGGATACAGGTTAGAAATTTATTTATATCAGCATACCCACCAAAGTCCAAATACTTATGTAAAAGCATTTGCAAATTAAGGAAATTTGTGAGGCACAAGTAATAAAAGCTATTTTTAATGGAGGATAAGGGAAAACAGACCATTTCCTGATAGGGCTTTATAAGAGACAATTTACCAGATAAATTTCCTTCAAAGGTTTCTCTTTGGAAGAGTAATTAAGCTACATAAACGCTGTAGAATAAAACACTATAAATATTAAGTTACTTAAACTTAGGCCTAAGTGATTTTTTACCTTACTGTCTTTTTTCTGCATTAAGAGCTAATTAATAAAAGTAACAATGTATGGTAAGGCCTTCATGTTATACCTTTCTGGCTATGTGGATTTCGTATCTTGAAGTTATTAAGTACTTCAAGAAAAGGAATAAATTCTGAAGGTCAGGTAGAATGCCCATTGACATTTGCTGAAATGCTGTCTCTTGAGCAGATTTAGTTAGAAACTGCCATGAACGGATCAAACATGGTTTTTGACAGATCAGAAGCTAGTTGATTTTTAATGATCTGGATGTGATAAAACCATTTGACTGGCAGATGTGATACAAACATATGAGCAGACATCTCTGGCTCTCCACCAAATGAGATGTCCCACACTGCTTTTTACAGACCTTTTTAAAGTGCTTAAACAGATAAAAAAAGAAAATCCTTCATCACACTCATATAGGTAAGTCAGCGATCAGATGCAAATTCTGAATTGTTAAAAACAGTGGATTTCATAATAGATCAAGAACATGGTATGGTTTGGGGTAGGAGTTTGTCTGTTTCTTTTCTTGCCTTCTTTTCAGGTTACCTTCATCATATCAGACAAGAATTTAAAAAAAATAACTCTGTAGTAAACCTACATGTATAAATATTCCTCTGTTGAGAGGTTTTTGTCCTTTATCAGCAGCATGATGGGCTTCTTCAGTCTGACTCATTAAAAATGGAATTGGACTGATTTTCAGGTTTTCTAATTTGAGGCACTTTAACTTCCATCTAGGCTGTCTCCTTCCTAAGCTGTACAAATATTGTTAAAATGATCTAACCAGTTACACAGTTTTCCTTTTCTATCTTTACGAGTCTTAACGTACATTTAATTAAACAACAGTAAAGGACTACTGACATCAGATCCTTTATCTTAAATGTATTTTTAACCCAGAAAACTATAAAAATAGCTGTGAGCTTCAGTCACTTAGAATTATTACAGTAAGTCTGTGAGGACTGTAAGATCATTCCCACCAGGCAGCACCAATGTAACTTTTTGACGCCAGGTGCCTGGATGGAAACAGTTTAGCATCAAATTCTAACACTGCAGACTATTTCTACACAGGTCAGCTGTTTTACCTGTAGAAGTCTTAGTCGTTGTTCGTTATTGAATCTTTCCACAGCAGCCCAAAACCACCGAATTACGATGTGATTGTCATGATAACCTGTTAAAACAGGAAGAGCCTTTAAGAGCTAGAAGAGTGATGGAGAGAATAGTCAGGAAGCCTTCCCTAGTTCAGCCCTAGTCACAATAATGCTGCATTTCTTATCCAGTTGCAGCAGAAGACAGGAGCTGAGAGAAAGCTACTCCTGAAATGTTTAAAAATCTTAAAGGCAGAGAATTAATCTACTAGAAGTAAAATCTCTTTTGCAAGCATTTCTCCCATTAATCAATCACTAACAGGAATGCCAATTCTTGAAATATTCCAATGCTGTGCTTTTCATGTATCTAAAGCCACAAATGATGCTGCAACCATCTCTCTTCAAAGGAGTTCCTAGATCTTCCATTGTTCTCAAATTATCTTAACTGCCAGCCTGCAGTCACTGGGATTACTTCTAATTTCCTGTCATATTTGAGAGTGGAAGAGAGGTAGATCCTACTAAGAAAGGTTACCATTTCTGTTTGCCTCCAGTGTCTGGGTGGTACTCTACTAGTGTGCAGGAGAGCACACCACATTCTGTGGAGAAGACTCCTCTGTTCTGCTGTCCAGACAAAAACAGTAAGGGAAGAGCTGCGTGGGGAGGCAGTGAAGCAAACTAAAATGGACAAATCAACTTCTCCTAACCCAGCATTAACTACAGAAACTCAGAATATACTGAAGATGTATCTCATGGGATAGTTCTTTAGTGCCTTAGAAACTGGGTAATTCCCAGGCCCCCAACACCATCAGTGAGCAAATCAAAATTGAGGTTACCTCCTCTATACTCTGTATTATTTCGCCAGTCGCTCAAGTCAATTTCTGCTGTTCCAGCTATAACCAGTTCCAGTTCTCTGGCATCAAACACAGACACGAGCCTTGCATCAACCACCTGTGAAAGCAAATAAAATGCATAGCAATGTTTCTTCATTTATTGATTTTTGCCTCCCCATAAAAGGCTTGTCTGCTACTAAGACATTTATCAGGTAACATTTCTCTCACGAATGAAAGGATGAAGGTCTTTTTCTTTTTAAAAGCAAATAAATATACTTTTTCTTCCACTGTAGTTCCATTCGGTTTCATTAGAGGATCACAGTGATTTGGAGATAATTTTATCGGCAAATAATACTGAATTATTTCAGGACAAATTAAGTTGAATATATTAAATTTAATTATCCATGTTAAAAAAGGTGAGAGAAAAATATCTTGAAATATACTCAGTCTACCATGCTACACTGAGTAGGGCATGCACACAAAAAACCTCAAAGGCCCAATAAAGAAACAGATGGGTGACTTTAGCAAGCACTCACTGCTAATCATACAAATAGTGATCAATAATATTTTCCAGTTTAAAGAAGATATATAACCATAGTGTTTAAATCATTGACTAAAAATGATACCACACCCCACCCCAGCCCCAATGGAGTAAAGATACTTCTGATTATACACGTATCTGCTTTTGGGGACTCTGTATTTGGGAAATGTATATGAGGAGAAAAGTATTTTGGGAGGATAAAGGAAGAAAGTAAATTTCATTTTGGAGTTTTTTACCTCATAGAAACCACGAACTAGACTTTCTGTCTGTTGTACAACTCCTCTCTCAATTCTCCATTTCACCATTCTTTCTATGTATTCTTTCTTGTTCTTTTCAGTGACTGGGATGTTGGCACCTCCTGGCTTTAATTCCCGTTCTGTGATCTTGCGAAAGAAATGACCAAATGACAACAGAGTATTATAAAGACAAATGAAAGGATTATAATTTAAACTTCTAAGTTGAAGTAATTCCTCAAAAGCACTACCCAAGACTGACTTTAGCAAACTGGAATATATGAAATAAGAGAACATACAACAAATCTATTTTTCGATAAAATCAATTTTAAAATCCCACTTAGTCTGAACAATCTTCATATTGAGTATGAAGAATAAGCTGAGAAGAAGAAACAATCTTTACAGCAATTAAAGTAGTGACGTCTTCTAAATAACATTGTAAGAAAGGTGTTGTAATACCTTTGAATACTAACTCTGCTGCAATTCAGGTAAACTACCTCCACCAGAGCAATCCAAAATTTTGATATTTCCAGAAAATCTCCTTAACCAGAAAGACATGTTTGACCGGTTACAAGATTTCAACATTGTTTTCATCAACCAGAATTTTATAAAAACAAGTGAAAATCAGCATGGAATGGCAATCATTCTTCCAAATAATATCTAACAGTAGAATACACACAGGAAATTAAATTAAGAATCTTGCACACCTGCCCAAAAACTTCTTCATTTACAGTAAACGTGAGATCTAGGATATCATGGATATCATTGTCTTTCATCCACTGCAAACTCTGGTGAAACTCCTCGTCGAGATATTCCAGGTCACTCAGGTCACAGAGTCTAACACAAAGAAGAAGAAAACACACAAATACAGATGACGGCGGTAACACGTGCTCAGTAACTAAACTCAGATAGGACAGTCCTGAGAAACAGACTGAGAATGGGAGCCAAGAGAAAAATCAATAGAATTAAGAAGATGCTACTGCAAATCTGCTTATTTGCCTAGTAATAGCAGTTACTGTACAGCACAAAATGGTTTTGTTAACATACAAAACTCCAGAATTTATTAATTTGAAGACATGTATCTTTTTAGGCTTATGACGAGTCTGTCCCATGTTTCCTGTGAAGAGTATTTTGGAATGATGGAAAACTGAAAACAGACTGAAAACACAAAAAATTCAAATCATAAAAGAAGTAGTACGTTTTTAGAACAAGCAACTACTATCCTTTTTGCTTATGTGACTACACTGCCACCTTTCTCATCTCTTCTTTGTGCAAAGAAGTGCATTCAGATACCCGGTACCACAAAAACATTTTTACTTTTTGCCGTACTTCCCCTTACCTGATCCTTGTTTTACAAATCCAACCTGTAAATCCAACTGCCCCTTGCTGTCTTTAACAGTTACTACTTCAAGCTTTGAACAACTCAGCTGTTAATAATATTTAATACCACGGTGGCAATTTCTGCCATTCTTCTTAACTCCTTAAATCCTGTTCTGTGAAACAGGACACTGGGGCTATTCATTAATGTCCTGGGTTGAGTGACACAGGACTAACCTTTCTTCTAATGCTGGGGAAAACTGCACTTTTAGAAGACTCTAGAGTGTGAACAAATGAAAATATTTACTTTATAGCCAGCTAGGCTCTGTGGGATTCAAGGTCTTAGTGTTTTCGAGCCTTGCCAGGTGCAGGGACTAGGAGGAGCAAGACCTGGGCATTTGACCCAGGCTGGCCAACAGGACTATTTCCTACCATGAACGTCACATTCAATATAAATTAGAAAAGTTTGCTGCCTGGTTCTCCTTTGATGGCATTGGTCCACAGAACTCCTTGCTCTGATGCCAGACCCCTGAGGCCTTCCATTCCTCCCGAAGCCGTAGCACTCGCAGTTTCCCACAATTGTTGTCCACTGCTGGGAGTGCACAGCTTCCTACTGATATAATTGGCTGAATATAATTCTTCTATATTTTATGTTAGTATCGGGATTAATACTGGTTCTTTAGCATTATTGTTAATTATTCAGTCTTATACTATTACATTTATTTATATTTCAACCTTCATGTTTCCTTGCTTTTCCCGATTCCTTTTCCTGGGGGGGGAGGGGTTATCAGGGGATAGAATAATTGTCTAAAAGACAGTGAGTTGTTATGCATTTTCTCAAACCATAACCATTAAGTAAAGCGCTTTTCAGCTGCAGGGTTCCCTGCCTGTTTCTATTCTTGGGTCCATATAAAGTCAGAAGGTGGCCCTCTACTTTTAGTCAGATGCTCAAGTGTAGTTTAAGTGACACCCTGCAGTACCAGCCCCTACATCAAAGCTGATGGATAGGTAGTCTAGATGGCTCATTAGTTATGAGGAAAGTGAAGGTCCAGGGCTTAGATGGAGATGCTGCATGAACTAGGTTGTGTGCAAAGGTGGCCACGCTGTCATTTTTAATTTCACTGTTTAGAGAACCGCCAAGCTAAACAATTAATTTAATTTGGCAGTCACATAATACTGGTATTAAAGTCCATCTGAGCTAAGTCTTCATTCTTATTAAAATGATTCTGCTAGCATTTAAGTACTTTTAAATACATGGGTGGAGTAATGCATCCATTCCTATTGCACTACTAGAATGTATGATGTTTTATACAAGAAACATCCTTCCAGACTTATCAAAAACAGCTTTCAAATAGAAGAGAAAGAGTGAAGCACCTTAAGTTCATTAGGTCTTAATTCCAGACATGCTAAGCAAGTGCTGCTCTCATTGTTTCAGCAAGAACAGGAGTAGTAGTTCTGAAAACAAAGTCTAAAGTATATCAAAGTAAAGGTCCTTAAAATGGAGATTTACCACAATCAGTCTACCTCAGAATGGGTATTACAGTCTAAGATACAAAGTGATTCATATCCTATCCTGTGAGTCATTCTAAGACAAATGAATAAGAACCCTATTAATATCTGGAATAAAACCACAGCATTTCATTGTACAATTTCAAATGTAAGATTTTGTAGAAGAAAGCTGATAATGTGGCTAAAACAAAACAGGAGGTTTTCATACCAATTAGAAACAACATTTTGAGTTACTAGGTAACTGACTAATAAGCAGAAACAAGAAACTTTAAAAAAAATAAATCCTGGATTGAAATAAAATGATTAAGTTATAAATAATGGCCTGTCTTACTTGATGATATAATACCATCATTTATCCATACACAAAATGGCATCACCCATGGGGAAGGAGCCAAACAAAAAAGGAGACAGGACAATTCTACTCACATTCGGAGGAGGGCTTTATAAAAGGGCCGTGTAAAAAAGGCATCTAGCAAATACTGATGTATCAGAGCAAGACCAAGTATTCGTCCACTAAACCTGAACCTGGAAGAGAAAGGGTTACAATCATTATACTGAAACTTTGTGGTCTGTACACTGCTGTGTCATCAAAACTTACATATATTTCCAAACAGCATTTTTAAATCAGATAGCTATGTCTAAATTGTGGTATTCTTTTTTTTTTTTCTTGTGTTTCTTTTAGATTCTTAGTAAGGCACAGAAAAAACACAAGTCTGCAGGGTGCGGAAAATCCCTCAGATACCTAAGTTGTAACTTCTCAAAAATGTCAAATCTATATTAACCCAATCGACCCCTGCCAGACTAGCCGCTTTATAAAAGTGTATCTTCCAAAATTGTAGCCACTTTCTATTTTCTTCACCCCTATATAGGATTAACTTGTTTTCATGTTATTGAGGCCAAAAGCTTTTTTTTCTGCCCTTTCCCAGCCTCACAGTTCTTGCTGCCTGTCTTTTCTGCTCCCTCTTCTGACTGGTGATTATGAAGGTCTATCTATATTTTCATGAACAGCAGCTTGAAGCTTTTTTATGTTCCACAGTGCTCTCTGGTCCTATGTCAATGGGATCTAAATCATCGTCTCCTCTTCCCTCTCTTCCCCTATTATCTTCATTTTGTCAGGTGGGTAAGGAGGGCTGGGGAGGGCAGGGGAGGAGTTTGACAGATTTGAGATCAGATGGCAGCAACTTTGAAATAGTAAGGTCTTTGCAAATATTCCCATGAGAATAAAAATCCATTGTGAAAAATCCTCCACATCTCTGGAACCAGATTTAAGTCTAGTATTCTTTTTAAAAGAAAATAACGCTTCTTAAACTTTCTGTTCATGCATCCTCAGCAACATTTTTCTTGCAAACATTAGGCCCTTATTATACATGCCTGTACACAGGGTTTGCAAGATAAGGATGTGACATGTGCAGCCCTCTCCTGCACATAACTGCTTGTCACAGCTGCATTTTCTGAATTCCCCCTGAGGCTGTACAAGATCAGTGCTGTCACTGGCACCAGCACTCCCAGAAAAAGAGGGGGTCATGCCTTCCCTCACACCCAAGGTCTCTGGGTCCAGCACTGCAGCACTGAGGGATGAATATAAAATGTTGTCAGAAGCTGCACAGCACATAAGGTTTTTTCCTCCCCTTTTTGCCAGAATGTTCTGCTTTCCTATACAGCATATGCCATCTATTATTACAGTACTGGAGTTCAACTAACTGAACTGGATGCAAACAACCACTTAATTTTCTATTAAGTTTTAAAACTAGTAGTGAGATTCCTTTCTGATATTAATTCTTCATAACCAGTTTCCAATAAATAAGAACTCAGAACATATCCATCGTACACAGATGAACGGTTGTCATTCCATTATTACTGTAATCTACCTATACAACAGAATTCTCTGTTAATATTCACAGTACAGCTTCACAGATTTATGGCGATGCCATAGCTTAAATCTACTAAGGGTGATTTAAGTTGTCTTATAATTGTGAAAATCCTTGATAAATATTTTAGAATTATGTGTGTATGTACAGACTTTACTTAAGAGCTATGTAATCAGCAGTCTTCTACCTGACCCCAGTTAAGATACCTCCATAGATTTCCTTCCAATAGGTATGTTGGGTTTTTTCCACTGAGGAGATTTCTGTACTCTTTAGGAAGACTCAAAACAAATTACATACAGTAACGTTTGTTTGAAATTTCCCTTAATCTCCTTACTTGAAAAAAAGCCAATGTTTCATTTTTGGTTGTTTTTGGTTTTTTTTTTCCCCATGCACAAGAGGCTAATATTGCTTTCATAAAATGACTACTAATGTACAAGAAATGCAGTGAGTTGTGTTGTGAGACAATCCCATGGTACACTTTCCAAACCATAGTTTTGCTGACCTTGTGAGAAATAAGAATATCTAAAACCACAAGAGAAAACAAATCAGTAAAGTCTAAAGAAATGCAATTATTTTGCTGGTGGTTAAAAAGATCAGATTCTATGTTATATGTCTGAGCAGATATGAGCAGTTGTCTACAAGCGGGAACAACAGAAAACATATCTGAAAAACAAAAAGGAAAAACAATTCTTACCACTCATGATGATTGTCTACAAAAGCAGACATGGGACTGATTTGTACTGTATAGGTATCGTTGGCTGAATATTCAAACAAACCATAATACGGATTGAAGAGCTCTCTAGACACCAGGAAAAAAAACTCTCTTGAGGGTCCACTGTAGTCCAACCTTTAAAGAGAAACTTGACATTACTATAAAGTGTTCATTGTGTGCAAAGAAATGCTTTTTTGAATCTACATTCCTTAAACTATGTTTTAATTAAAATTTCGTAAGATTTTTACCAGAACCCTTATCCTGCAGATTGCTTAATGCCAAGGTATGTGAAGTCCTCATGGGGCTATTCTGAAATGGAATGGCTTGGAGGACTGGAATGAAGTGCTCTATGCAGGCTGCTCTCATCAAAAATTTTGGCTTCAGCTGTAATGGCCTCTTTGCCACAGGAATATTACCAAATAATTGGCAGCAGGGGGAAACATGAAGACAGCCAACACGAGATCTATCTGCATCTGACAAATGAAGAATGAAAATGAACAATGCTCATATTCTATCTTTGCAGATTTGCAACAATAGGACAATTCGAAGGATAATATTTCTGTTTTGTTTCAACAATATAATCTGAGATTACTTCAGTGATTTATCTCTCTTGGTCTAAATTTTCTTGTCTGTCTTCCAAACTTGAGTGCATTTAAATGTCTTCTGGAGAGTGCACTTCCTTTGGTTGTTTGGGGTTTTGTTTTTTTTTTTTTTTTTTTTTTGGCTATTTCAAGACTCCAGTATTAATGAACAAGGAATCTAAATAATCCCTTTTTCCTGAATCATTAACAAACTCATTGCTGACAAAGCACTGAGACTGAATTTTGACATTATGCTGCAGGTCACCAGTAAAATGAGTTAAGTATGAAGTTAATGCTCTGGTAGAGTCGGAAAATAGAATACAGAAAACTAGAGATTTTCTTGTGGGCAAAAGAGATGAATCAAATCAAAGATTTATAAAGATATACCTTCTATATATTGGAGGTTTCATACTTGACTTTTAAGAAAGTCTTGCTTTAGTACTAAGGCAATGCACAGACAGAATTATCACAGAGAAGGTCAGCTTTCACATAGGACTTTGGCTATTAATGTTTTGGCTCATGAACTTTTACAGAAGACAAACATATATGAGGATATAGGAGGATGAAGGTTATGAGGTTTTTGAGGATGAAGCTGTCAGGAAAGTTAGGTACCATTATCAACTTGAGGATAAAGCTTCTTTCCTCTTTTGAATAAAAGCCATTTTCCCTTCAGTCATTTGGAAGCATCTTGCTTCTGTTAAGCTTCAGAAGTGAAGTACTGAAACAGATCTTTACCCTGGCAAGAAGGGCAGATTCCATCCTCAAATTGCAGAAAAAAAAAAACACCACCAAAATGGTTTGGTATCACGGACAACTGTTGGACTTCAATTGTGGCACAAATACCAGGATCAAGTAAAGGGTCATCTGAACGACTCTTGCAAAATTCTGGGAGAATCAGACTCACTATGAAATTTTAAGGTAAAATAGAAACTGTGTGCTTGACTACCAGCCACTTCATGCAGATCCTTCTGTACGCAGAGTTACTGTGAGTCATGTTAAATAAATCAATCATGAGAGTCCTGCACTGCCAGTCAGATTTATCCCACAATTAAAGGCTTGGCACAAGGGTGAGAAAACTTCATACAAGAGGTATGCAACCACACAACAGCTGCAACTGTGGGGCATTTGGGTATTCAGGAGTAGAGTAATATGTTGTTGGCAACATGACTCATGTCTCCTAGGAAGCACCATTAATACTTTTACCATTCTTAAATGTAAAGCAGCTTCTGCTAATAGTTAATAGAACTTAGGGAAAATAACTTCAAAGGAACCGTATATTTTGTATCAAAATTTTCTTCATTTATCACCACATGAAGTATGAATGTAACACTAAATTAGCACCACAATTGCATGACTGTAGAAATTGAAGGTTCCAGGAAGATACCAAACATTATGAGACTTAGGATAAAAATCATATGAATAGAAGTAACTATGTCTGAGTTGCTCTACTTACTAATTTATACATTAATAAATCAATAGTTACTAAAATCTTTTAATTTGTAAGGATTTCATTACCCATGACTTTAAGACCTACACCTCCATACTAAGAGGAAAAGAAATGCAAGAGCAATCTCCCACTTAAATACTTAAAAAAGAAAAAGGAGAAGCAAATAGGAAACAATTAACTTTCAGTATTCCTCCTCCTCATCGTTCTCTTCTCCTCCACCCCAACCTGTCTTTCTACACCTAGCCAAATAAATAGTTTGAGGTGACACATATCCTTGCACCATCTCTGATGAAACAATACTGTTTGCACACATCCCTTCTTCATTCAAAACACAGATTTGTAAATAGAGAATTGACGTCATTTTAATTTTACTTTGCTCTTAATTAACTCATTCTTTTCTATTAAGAGAGTCTTGTGTAAAGCTGGATATAATGGGAACAGGATGTGTCACCCCCATTTCCAGGTCACTCTTCATCTTGCTGTACCAAGCGATGAAATGCAAAAGCCTGACGTCTGATGAAAGGAGACAGTCTATCTGGATCAATCTCTACCTCATGTATGATTTTAAAATTTTTCCTTTCATTTTTAAATCTGAGTTGAAGTTGTTGCTGTGAAAGTAGAGGCTGGTAGGGCTGTGTAAGACAGGCCTCGTTCCTGCATCCCCACCCTGCTCTGTCAATATAGTGTAATCTCATCCTGCACCAGCCTTGTCATTCCAGTTCTGAGTTTTCCCTCAGACAGCACGGTGATATTATTTATATGAACAAGTCCACACTTGGCTCTCAGCTGTCAACATTTTTTATTTTAAGACTTCAGTGAGTTCTTATTAACACTAAGCACTTCAGGGTGAACTTCAAACAAACAACAGGATTTAGGGGTTTTCAACGACAGATTCATTTTATCTAATCTTGTATGGGATGTTTCTATTACAACGTAGCTATTTTAAAGACTCACACATCGCATGGCAATAATGCACACTACAGAATTCCAAGAGCTGTGTGCTACAGTTTCCTAAATATCAAGGAATAAAATTTTGAATGTATTTATGAATACATTCATGAAATATATCGATATAAATATTTGTTTCTAAGGCAATAGGCTTTAAGATCTGACAAAGGGGTCAAGAGACAAAAGAGGCAAATAGTACATTGCTCCAGTTTCACTTGCAAAGGAAATCTAACCACATCTTGCTTTGTGACACACATCTCACAACCTGTAACACGTTAGACTTTCAATAGACACAGACTGAATGTTCTCTGAAGTGACAGTAATATTTGTGTTTATCTGACAACTAGCAACAGCCTAGTTGCTTTTATCTGTGATGCAGGCCCTGGCCTGGAGAGGCAGCGAGCACCTCCTCTATCACTGAGGGCTTTCAGCTCCCAGTGCTTCAGACAGGAGTTGAATTAAAGATTAAGCTTCTAGCCTACTCTTGAAGCACCCTCCCTCCAACAAATGGCAGCTGTCTTTTAACAAACACTGGAGATATAATGTCAGCACTGAGATAAAAGAAATATGAATAACACAAGAAAGTTGTTTGTTTTTTCTTTGCTTTCCCAGCAACATTCTGAAACATACACCAACTATTGTGAAAATTCACATAAACACATGCATTACTTCTCCAAAGGCAGGATGCATTACATTTCACAATGCCTAAAAAGTCATCTTGAACAGCTGTATGTTCTAGGCTTATGTATGTGGCATTTCCTGACTGTAATCCTTCCTCTTTTCACTCTAGACCACAAGAAGTTGGGTGAAACAGCAGCTGCAAGACACACTGAGTTTTGAGATCACATTTTTCTTGTTCTTGTTCTACTCACCCTTCTTCCCCAACAAACGTGACATAGAGTTTATTTCTCTGCAGGTCTTTTCTTGAGTAGCCCATGATCTGGTTAAAGGCATCTTCTAGCAAGTGATCTCTCCTGATGATTAATCTGAAGAGCAAAATAATTTTGAAAGAGCAATTCATTTATTGTGAACCAGAGTTGGAAACACCTATGTACACTACAAGCTAACAGGGTGACTTCATAGAGATACACACTTCTGCTGCATAATTTGATCCAGATAAGGCAGCTTCTGTCTGTTAGTCTATCTCCCTCAGGAATCTACTTTAGATTTCAATAAAATGTTTCTCGTACGAAGAAGTGTAGTTTTATTTCTTGTACCTTGATGCTTCCTTAAATTAAAAGCTTCAATAGGAAAGGTCCTGAAGTGGGCATTTTCATTAAATTTAAAAACCTTTTGTGAAGCTGGGCCTCTAAATCAGTCTTACTGTAAGCAAGAATCCAACCTTTTATGTAAAAATCAATCGCCTAGAAAGGAAAAAGATAAAACCATGGGAAAGTCACTGAATGGTAACTCCAAAATCACATATCCCTACATTATCCCCGTGTAAGTGTGAAGGAACAAAAAGTCTAGAAGGAATGGCAACTGTTTGTCCAAAACCAGACTGAAGCATCGCCATGTGAAAATACAACGTACCTTCTAAAAGAAAATTGTGAAAGTGAGGAAGTGTCATTAAGATCTAAAATAAGAGGTGAAAGAATCCTCCTTACTTAAACATTTTATCTTCTGCCAAAAAAATGTGTTTAATTAGCTTCCTGAAACTTAGCTTGCCTTCTATTCAAATGCTGCCTTACATGTGCATTTGATCAGTCAGACTGAAGCCGGGAGCTGCTGCTGCCAGCAGAGAGGCAGCTTACCCCTTCACGCAGCCTCTTGCCAAGCCCTTGCTGTTCTTACTGCTTGTGCAGAGATCAGGCAGTGACTGCACTCTGCGATCCTGCAGAAGACACAGAAGCAGAGAGGCCAGGACCAGCAAGGTACCCAGGCACCAAGAGGACCCAGGCAGTATGCGAGTTGTACTGGGGTCCTGGTTTGAAAAAAAGGAGCAGGTCAGTATACGCCTGGGAAAGAAACCCAGAGAAAACTTCTATTAAAAAAATCAAGCTGCTGTTCTGCTTAAAAATCCACAGCATGATGGCAAATAGGTCAAGGAAAAAAGGTGCAAGAAATGTAATGGTTCTTACATGTAGCAAATGCCATCCTCTTCTACCAGCTATTTGGCTAAGTATTCATGACTAAACTTTCATAGATTAAGCTTTAAGGGTTTGTGATATCAGTACATTACATGCAGACAGTGTCCAAGCCCTTCTTCTTGAGATTGTCTAATCAATACCGTTTTAATTCCATTTCAGTTGTGGAAAACTTTTAACAAGCTCACATAAATGAAGTTTGAGCTCTGCATGAATTCCTGCAAAATGTGGCAAGTGACAGACTGGAGGGAATACATATAACAAACAAAAAACCTACCCACCCTATTCTAATAGAAGAAATGGTTAAAAAACAAAGTTCTAGTGCTTAATGGCTACTATGAGAGTATCAAGCTATGATAGTTTAATAGCTGGCACAAGACTTGGTAATTTACAAAATTATGAAAGTATCTTATGATGATGATCCTTAACACAACAGTATGTAATCACACAATTACCAAATAAATGAAAAGGGGAAGACCTCACTCGAAGCACTCCAGCATTCAGAGTGCTGAAGTAAAAATACTAGGTTTTTTAAGGCAATCATTAGAATTTAATAACATTTAATTTTATGACTCCTCTTTACTAAAGAGGACTGTGATACCAATACAGGCAATGATGCACAAAAGATAAGCCTATGTAGTTTTTTCAATGGAAAGAGAAATGAGAAAATATAAGTGTTTAAATCATAGCAATTGCTGTAATGGAAGAATTCCCAAGGCACTTTTTGCCAGTGTATTGGTAATGTTTGTTTGAAAATACAGTTGAAAGAAACATAGAAAAGAATTGCTCAGAACTTTTTGTATCCTCTGCTGTGAATCACATGCTGGCACTAAGTCTTTTATGACAGGCTTTGTATTTCCAGAAGTGCAAGGGTAACCATAACATCTGCATTCCTTCCAGTGGGAAGAAGCCTGTAGATGTGCAAGGCAAAGGCAAGCTGCCTGAGAAACAAATCCGGTTTCATGAGATTCTTCAACATACTTCAGTTTCCCTGGGCCTTGTCCATATCCTTTAGTCTCCAACTTCCTGTAAAAGTTCCTCAGTTTGGCTTCAAAATCTCTTTTGTAAGGAGCTGGAGCTCGGGCATTGGCACGCTGAGTACCTGCAGGAAGCAATAAGCAAAGAATGAGCTGTAGTGATATGAGATTATTTATGTCCCATCCTCTACTGAAAAGACTCCTTAACAGCAAACACATAGTATGCGTTTGGCTTAGTCACCTTTATAAAGAGTAAAAACTACATCAGCTTCAAATCTGCTCTGCATCCAAGACTTCTTGATTGCTCATTTCCAATAGTATCATATTTCCAAAGAAATTCTTAAAAGAGCAAATCCAGGTCAATGCAGAAGACGGACTGAAAAACCAGCACTATCAACTGGAAAGACTTAACTTCTGTTTGTCACATACACTTACGTATAACCGTTAAAATAGCTCATGTAATAAATGTTCTGCTCTGTTCTGGTTTTAACATTATTACGAAAAACAGGAACTCAGAAACGAAGCATAAACACACTGCTCTGCTGTGCCCCTGTTGAGTACATAAAGTTGAAGAAGGAAGACTTCTGGAAATTCCCTAATAGAAGCTTTTCTTTGGGGAAGTAAAAGAAAGAAAAATACTGGAAAAATGGAAAGACCAGCAAATTTAAGTTTGTGGAACTTTTCATATGTGACTGCAGGAACATACATGATGGTCATCCAAGTGAATTTATTTTTGAAAAACTGTTTTTGAGGGTCAATTTCTTAAAAGCAGGAAGAGATGCGATCTGTTTGCCAAAAAAAGGGCATACCCCCACATCTGCATGCACAAGTCTAGTATATACAAACTAGGTATTTAGTCTGATTTATTCTGAATATTACAACCATTAGAACTTCCACTGCCTTCCTGGATAAATGACTTCAATTGATTTGACTACAAGACAGTGTGCCAAAGAAGCAGTTAATCCTAGTTCTTTTTACATTCCTCTTCTCACCCCTAGTTTTTTTTAACATGCCTGCATGCCTGTGTAGACATCTGCCACAAAAAACTCAGAGGACATTTAAAATTTCTCATGCCCTACAGTATACATAGGTGGTCAACTACTTATCTGCAACTGAGGGTCATCTAACAGGCTCATAATGCACTGGAAATACAATGAAAAGTTTAGAAGTATATGTAGACTTCTAAGTGACAATCCGTTCCTTACTTGAGTTTTCATTTGGCTCCCTGTAAGAAACTAAGCCAATACAGACACATTTATTGCTACTGTGGGTGAAGGCGTGAGAACGCAACGTTTCAGGTTCTGAAAGAAAGAGAAGGTGTATTCGTTCAGCCTGTGGGCAGAGAGCAGGGGAAGAGAGAACAGCTTGCTGAGCCACAAAGCACACGGGTCTGACGGCAGAGGCGACGAGCACATCCTGCGGAAGTGGCTGCTGGAAGAAGCTGCAGAGTCGATTTCTCTGCAGAGATCAGAGCGGGAACAAGTGAGATCAGTATTAACACTGAATGCCATTTACAGGTCTTTGAAAGACCTGTCTGACCAGAAAGACACTTGCCACTTGTTCTAGGCTTAGAGTGATGTGTGGGAGGAATAGAAAGTGTCAAGGAATCCTCAGAGCTCCAACATGCAGGACGCCTCTGGGAAAAAAAAAATCATGGTCATTGATTAATGTGTATCCTGGTTATTCTCTTTTACTGAGGGCACCAAGGGCTTGGAAAGGTACACTCAGCTATGTTCTATAGAAAACTTACAGAAACCTGGAACTGTAAACAGCCTTTTCGGTTTTGGCCTTTTCCCCCTATTTTGTTTATTTCGCTTTGGGTCAAAGCAGGTACAAAAACATAGTCACCAAAAAAACCACAACAAAAGCATACTTTAATCTTAACCCCTGAAGGAAGTTTTGCTGAGAGATACTGCAGAACATAAATCTGGCAACACATTAATTCACGGTTCAGAAATCAGCAGTATATTATTCTGTCAGCACATGACAAGTCCTCATTGCAAATCAGATGCATTGCCAAGAAATTCCTGGGCAATTATACTGATTACTTCCGCCTTGGGAACAAAAGATGTTAATGGAAGAGCTAAAAAATGCCAGTGATGTGATAATCATATTTAATTTTCAAAGAGGTTATATTCTAAAGCAGATATAAAGAGTAGCTTCATGACTATTCATCTTCATCAAAAGCGAAAGTACAACTGATTGTGCCCGATCTGAACAATGGATCCTTAACACACAACCTCGTGCAGTGCAACACAGTCAGTTTAGATGACAAAAAAACCACAGAGCCTTCATAGAAATGATGGGCTATTTACAATTTCTCCTCAAAAAAGTCATTTATACACCAACACAAACATGCATACTCGCAGACTGACGGGGCGATTCAATGGCCTCTCTGTATTTTTCTATGAAATAGAATAGAGATGACAATTTTTAGGAGAACAGGACTAAAACCATCACTGTTTATCCTTTACTATGTGCTGCTTCTTTGAGGAATAGATGAGAATATCACATGTTAAAGATTGAATGTGTTTTGAAATGGCTTTGTCAGAGTGAAGCCCTGCCCAGTGTGCTTCGGTGCATATACTAGTAATGAGGAAATTAGAACTCTGAAAGCCAAAACTGTTTTTACTCATAAAAGACTGCCAAGTTTGCAGTTGGAAATAAGGTGCAAACATCCAGATTTCATTTTTCCTTTCTTTTCAACAAAGCAAAACAGTTATATCTAAACCATATATAGCTCTCAAAAATACAAATAAATGTGAGTATTATATATTGCTTTGCAGAATGCCATAGCATCATTAAGGTTTTTTGGTAGTTTCTTTGAATAGGTGCCACAGAGGTCCTATGTCCAGCAGCAGGAAAAACTGCCACTCAGGTAGCTTTTGATCTGGTTTTTTGGAAAGGCAAAGCTTTTTATGACTGGGAAATGCCCACTAAAATCACAGTACCTTTTTCTGATAAAATTTTCCTAGAGTTGCTTATGTCTCAAATGTTCTCCATTTATCTGTACTTTTGTTAACAAATTTGTAGAAATATCCTTAAGCCACTTCCGATTTACTGCAGTGATTTTATTTCACTTACCTATTATCTTTCTTGAGAAAACTAAGAATAGTGATGCCTATAAACTTCAAATTGCTGTACTTAGCCTTCAGAGGTCAAATGGAACTTGTCATATTTGAAATAATTTCATTCTGATCCACAACTTAGTTAGTATGTGATCAATTCCATTCCGTTCTGATGTGCATTTCCGGACAGCCACATTATGCTATCTTCTGAACTCATGTTAAGCGACAACATTCCGCCTTTATATAAAATTGTCGCTCATTGCCCCACGGCCCCATTAACACTAGCATTTTAATGTATGGTTATTACAACTCATACTTTTAATTATTTAGGCATCAGGATCCTGGCATGAGCAGTCACTTAGTTGTTTCACGTCAGTGAGAAACAAGTTTCCATGTTTTACAAGTCAGAACAAAATCACAACCTCTGAAGTTGTAACGCTCCGATCTTTTCTACCAGCAAAACATCTTGTGAGCCCAAGGCAAAGGTTCAAGTTTGGCAGTCAAATACAATCACACTTGTTGACTTTGCTCAAATATAGGACTAGATCTTTGTTGTTGGACTAGATCTGGAGCAACAGAACTTGAATCTTCAGAAAGCTGGAAAGTCATTACATGCAGCACAATGTAAACTATATTATGGGACTGGCTCTACTGCAATATCTTACAGATACCATCATAATTAAAGCACTGCAGTGACAAGCTCACTGACCACTCAGAAGGTGCTTCATCTTATGTAACTTTACCCATCTAAAAGTTGGAGATCACAGAGAGGAATAAGTTATATTTTCCAAACAGCAAGTTCTTGGCTTTAGGCTGCCATGGATTACGTTTTGGAAAGCAAACAAAAAAATATAGTCAAATCATTTTTCTATTGTTTTTGTTCTCTGACACAGGGGAAGGCAGCAGGAGTGTGCTATTGACTACTGATGTGGAACTGGTCCGTACCAAGTATGAGAAATGGTCTCATTTAGTCCCTGCAGAAGCTGCACCTGAGCAACTTACCTGGAGAGTTCTGAGGCGAAGACACCGGCGAGCCTCTTGGGGACTGGCAATAACTAGGATGAAGTAAGGCATGTGGCGGCACGTATGACATTATCTCCTCCTCAAACAAGCTGGTGAAAAGGAGCAAATAAGAAAGAACACGTTTATTTGAATGAATGGCATTTTTCACTTTCTATGAATAAAACTTCAGTTACCAGCCTGCTTTCTTTCCAGTGTGCACACTTACGAGTGCTACAGAATATTTTTTTGCCATTCCTTCAATCAGACCTTGAAAGTTACTAGAAAACAGTAATTACTACTTCAGTGGGACATCACTATACATAGCACAGTATTTGTTTTCAAGGTGAAAATGTAATCAATAATCTTTAAAATTTGTTTGGATTGGGGGGTGGGGTTTTTTGTTTTTTTTAAACTTGTGTTTTCATGACAAAGGGGTCAATAACCTTAGTCACACTTGCCTGGAAAAAGATCTGCAATACTGCACCAAGACCAGGAACTGAGACAAACATTCTAAGCCTCCAGGATTAAGAATCACATCTGAACTTGTTGAGTATATTGAATAGTAAGCTTGTTGGTGTAACAAGTTACTTCCTTGTTTTATCTTTAGCACTAACACTGCTGCTGAAATGGGATTCACATCTAATCTATTCAGCTTGAGTTATTTCATGCTTCACCTGTTATTGCTATACAACTTCTAAGAGAAAAACAATACACATTTTGCAGCCTAATCACTGCATATGTGTACACAGTCTGTATCTGTATTAAAATTTCAGTCTTTTCCCAAGATTGACACAAGTAAATCCAAAAAGAGACAGAATATCTAATATCAGAATGGATCTGATGTCAAAACCTATGCTGGATGTTAAAAACTACACAGATAAGAATAAACTGTTGAGATCATATATAAAATTTATTTTCAAAAATTGAGCTACAGAAAGAATCACAAGCCAATCTTTTACTATAGAGCTCAACAAATGAAAGTAATGGTCAAATAAAAGATCTTTAAGTTTTTTCACTGAACAGATACCTAGAAAAATTTTTTGTATGAGGTTTTTTTGGAATGTGTATTTTCTGGCAGTTCTTTTTAAACTCATGACCATGCATTCTTTTTCTCCAAGTTACATTTTGATGCTGAAAATGGGATGAAATATAAACCACTACTTCAATCTTGGATTAAATGAAGACTTAAGATGATGATTTGTGTTGCACACCAAATAACATGTTTGGAAGAAGAAACTGAAAAATATTTTCTCCTTAACACTTGAAGCATAATATAATGCCATTCTTAGAGTATTTTTAAAAATGTGATGCATTGTATCTCCTTCAGTCCCTAAACACACAGGGGTTTGTTTGTTTAAGTTAGTAACAACTTTACATTTACTGAAGCATGTGGAACAATGTACAGTGTTCCCAAGCAATAAAAATTATCAGAAACAGTAATTCCACCCAATTATTTCCTACATGTCAGAGTGCTCTACAGGACAATTATATCTTCCTTCTCCACCACCCCAGCTGAAGAAACAGAGGCATGGATAACCTTGGAGTCTTCTCCAGGGTCATCCAACCAGCCAAGCTAGATACAGAACCCAGGTATCCAGAGCCCCAGGAAGATTGAGTCATCACGATTAGAGTGCATTTTATTTCAGGGTTTCATAGAGACGGGTCATGATGACACCCTGCTGGAAGATACTGTTAAAAGTAAAAATCCACCAAGACTAAATAATGGTAAAAAAAGAAATTTCATCATCTCAGTACACCACTATTTCAACTTAGCCCACCTTTGATTCTACACCAGTATTTACTCACCATAAGCTCACAATATCTCAGTCCAGTTTTGAGGTTTAACATCCAACATTTTAAGAAACTAATGGATGCATAGATAATATTTTCTCAATAATATGTCCTCAGGGCAATGGCACTATTAGATTACTAATAAAATGGGAAGAAAATCCTCAAGCAACACTTTTCAGTGAGATTTCTTTTTTTTTTGAAAAAAGTAGATTAAGGGAAATAAAATCTGAAGAATATAATAAAGTTATTCTATGGAGGCACTGGCTACTATTTTTCTCTTAAAAATTAATTATACTTTTCCACAAAAGAAATACTGCAATCAAAGTTTTGAATTTGCTTTATTTCCACTATAAGAATTATTTGCAGTCTTTGTTGTTAACAGAACACTAGAGGAACAAGACCCAGTCAAGAAGCAATGATAAAATCATTCATGCAATCTTTATTTAAAAACAAATAGCTGAAGCCAGACTTTTCTATTTAAAACCTGTGCCATCCCCATGCATTATGTATCAAAACAAATTTCTTAAAAGGTTTATTAAGAAACAATATTTGCATTTTTTAAAAAGCTGCGTGGCTTTAAAATGAGGGTTTTTTTATAGCTATAATTAATTCAGAGATTTAGGGACCAGAAAGGATTACCATTATGCAACCTGATCTCAAAATACTACTACTAATGCCAATCCTATTTCACTAGATTTGATTTTAAATGTACTTGTGAATTTCTTGATGCACTTTTACAAGGGATGAGACTACAATATGAAGATACAGGGGTTTAATTCTAGCAATCTGCCTGATTTTTTGAGTTAATTGCTTAAATGAAAAATAATAAAGAAGCAGCTTCCCATTTCTTGAACTCTGTAACAGCATCCCATTTATTAAACGGGACAATGCTTGACAGCGTAGTGACGAGGCAGTAAGACATTAAGTAACAAAACCACATCTTAAGTATGAATGTTTACAAATACAGACTTCCAAAACCACAGAACTAAAAAGACACATTCTTGATGCAGCAGAAGACACACTGTTGCAAAGAGGTCTAAACTGTCCCACCTATCCCAAGCAGAGCTGGATGCAACAGGACAATAAAAGGCGATCTGGGCAAACCCATATAAATCACAAGCACAGCAATCTTGCACTTGCCTTTCCTCAGATAGAACATCACATACTCCACCATACCTATGAAAAAACGTGACCTCCAACTACCATCTAGAAACTGACCATGATGAAAATAAAAAAATCTGACCCCTGAGTTGTAGCTCTTCCAGCTACAAGTCCAAGTACTGAAAGGGAAACAATTAGGTCACTAAATCAGCACCCACTACTCACTGAAAGGCTCTTCAGCAGCTGCCACAGCATATTCCATATTGCATGAAAAGCAGCAGTGCCTACCTGAGTAACATGACAAGGTCTGCATCACTGGATAAACGCACCAACCCAGGTGTTCCCTCTGTCCGGATGAACTGGATCTTCTCCCTGTGTAAGCAAAAAAAGACTTCCAAAATATCTTTTGCAAATAAGGCACCAATATACACCACACCGACAAGAAAAAGTATAGGGTATATCATAAAAACCTCTGGGTTATGCTTCTGTATTTCAGAAACCATTTTTTTTTCCCTGCCACACCATGTCCATGTGAGCAGGAAAATATTACAACCAAAAAGCTAATTTGTTCTGAGGAGTGATTCTCCAGTTGCCCTCATCTCTTCAATGCTCAGGCTGCTTCGGGTAGTACAGTCATCCAACCATTACAAATAAAATAAATATATAAATCAATCCTTCAAGTTCACACTAGCTGTGTCCCTGAATTCAAAGCAGGAGGCTGAGCCCTGTGGGAGGACATTACTATTCTGAAAGTGAACTGTTCAAAGAAGTACTGCCTTTTTTTTAACCTATGTACAAACACAAGCCATACATTACAACGCACACTTGTGATTTTAAAAGCCATGTTTTCGTGCCACACTGCATTTAAGAGACCTTCCAGAAAAATCCTTGTACTATTTATCACTCCTGTCCCACTCAAGCACACACCCTTCCTCCCAGACCCAGCACGGTCACTATTGCAAAATCTATGCATCCTAAACTCTGAGCATAGTAACACACAAGTTTTTAGGATCTATATCAAATATAATTCCTTGGCTGATTCCTGTTCACCTTCTCTTCAGAGTTTTTTCCTGCATTCTAAAATGGAAGAACATAATTTTAATTTTCTCCCAATCAGTACATGGTATATGATGGTACAGGAGAGAGAAATTCTAGTTTGGTTTTACTCTTTAGGAGGAAAAGAAAACAAAACCCAAACCCACATGGTAACAACTGCCCCAATTCCAAAGGAGAAAATCACCAAACAAACAGAAAAGAATTCCACATAAGAACAGCAGCACTGGCTCAGCTCAGAGGTCCACCTACCCCACTATTACCATCAGCGACAAGAAGATGGTCAAAATCTATCTGTGTAACCCACACTGTAACCAGGCTGGTTGTGGCAGCTGTGTGCAGTTTAAGCTGCAAGATGAATTTCTGAAACACGTCATTTCATGGGCAGCGGTTTCAACAAAAGGATCAAACCAAATTTCTTGCCATCTGCCTCTCAAATCACGGTGCATAAAGACTTTCCCAAACAGACCTAACATACATACCCTGGTAACTTGCATTACATTTACAGCATATTTAAGGGTGAAAAAAGCTTGCCAGGGTGGCAGTTGTGGCTGAAGCAGGTGTGTGTAATTCAGTGTTTCTCTATGAAGAGAGGTCCTGAGAGTCAAGCACCCGCTCTGTCAACGCTGTGGCTGGAGCCAGTCAAGACTCGAGTTGAGCCTGGAGGCCCCACAGCTCCACTAGCGCAGCGCTGAGCCAAAGCCAACCTGCAATCACGGGCCTAGAGTGCCCAGGGCAGGGATGTCTGGACACTTCCAGAACCTACTCCAATTTACATCAGTGCCCAAATGGCAAGGTTTGAGGAAATAAATGGTGGATTACAAAATATGTCTCAGCATTAAGTTGGCAGCAACACCAGGAACCAGAAGGACAATCTCTGGGTTAACTAAGACATGCAGCCCTCCAAATGAATGCAATCCATGACTTCTTAGGGCTATCAATGACAGTTGTGATTTTGATAGTATTTTTTAACATATATGTCTTTTACCTGCTGTTAAGATATATATTCTACTTCAGGCATAATAGGTGCCTTTGCCTGAAGCCTTTTACATTATTTAACAGCCTCTCAGTTTTATCTGTGGTGGCTTTCAGTAAGATTTGATCCCAGCTATACGCTTAATAATAGTATGATAAATACAATGTTCTCACTCCACCATAAAACCTCTGAACAACAATTTTGCATCTGTAATATATTCTCATTGTATATTTTAATAGACTCTCAATTTCTGATCACATCTCTTTATTCTTTTTAGAAATTGGAGATTCTTCTAGACAGAAAATGTAAGAGATCTTTTCAAATTATCTCTGTCCTCTTCCACTGGCCAAATACTGATTTTTCTCCTCTCCTATGTACTAATTATAATAGTAATAATAATAATATTTAATGTCATTGTCATTCTACTTCAATTGCACTAAGGTCCTCAAAAAAACCAGATTACTGACAGTTGTACTGATCACTACACTAAAAAAAATGACACAGAGCATTCGTAGTGTGGGATTTCATTAGGTCTTAATTCATCAAGTGTTATGGCAATGTCACTGGAGTTGCTTAGCCTCACAATGTGTGAAATAGATGTGCATTCCAATAACTTGCTAAATCAGGATCTTAAAAGACTAACTAGAATGGAATGATTTAGCTTAACAGAATGGCTACTCTGACCAATAATACTTGATGTAAAATAAAATTTCATACATTAAAACCCTCAATGATTCTGCTGAGGCAAGTAAGTTAGACACAGATCTTCAGTCTATTTACGAAGTAAAGTATACAGTAAGTACACAGAAGCAAACACAGTCTCAGGTAAACAAGGAGTTACAGAAACTAGTATCTTTTATACTTCGATATTCCATTTTTAATCTGAAAACCATTTTTTCTTGAGAATGGCTCAGCTTGTGGCAAATTATGATTCTGTAACCAGGAAGCAAGGTTCTACAATAAGCAGAATGTGATAATACAAACAGGTCTTTTGAACAGTCTGAACTCTGTCCAAAAAAATCACAAAACACGTAAAGAAAATGTCAGTCTGATTGCTATCAGCGTAAAGGAAGCCAAGCACCCGGGGAAAGGAAAAAGGGATAGTAAAAGTACGAATAATCAGAAACTGATTAAACAGATTAGTTTGCTCATATTTCAAACTGAGCCTGGTGGGACAAACTTGCTTATAGTGATAGGGGTGCAACACAGCAAGTGTTTTGACAGGCTGAGAACTGCAGGCTTTACTTTTGTCATTTTCTCTGTATCTTCTAGAGAACACGTGTTCTGTTAATACGTCATTTCAGGTTCATCAGCCAGAATTTCTTTAGAGAGTAAAACATAGAAGCCTCATCAAAAAACTTGATAGAACACAATGCTTTGGGAAACTGTGAAACAGGGCAGCTTGTTGAATTTTGGGAATTTGCAGGACATGGAGGAAAAGGGATTAATAAATAACAGTATGAGAATGGAGAAAAAAAAGATGAAAATCAGTGCTGGCTGCTGTGCCAGCCAGCATGGGTAGGCACCTGGAACACAGAACACTGCACTGGCAGCTCTCTGCACAGGACAGACTGCAACCATCAAACCAGTATTTTTTAAATTTAATGTCCAATGAAGAATAGATAGTCATTTGAGTCCTAGTCGCTAATATCCAAGTTGTTAGTTATTCCATCTTTTACACCCAAGTACATGAACTGAAGTGTCTTTGTGTGGCATACACTTTAAGAGGGATCTTGCTGCTTTCTGAATTTCACCTTTTATCATTCCTAGTCTAACCATAGGGAGTTATAACCACCATATAACAAAAAAAGATCAAGGATGATCAGACCTCATTGGACTATGCAAAGGACTATGCAAAAACCTGTAGATACCCATTTTTTAAATTTTGGAGAAACACTAAAAATTCTGATTGATACAAGATTACCTCCAAGGTCATTAGGCCAGGGCAGCCTTTCTGTAAACGCGCATTGAGAAGATATGAGCAAAACCAAATGCCATTGTGCCTCACAGTCCCAGCTGCACACACGCTCTAATGAATGGGCACATTTGCTGTGCCATCCAGCTGTCTTGGTACATTCTGAAGACATCATCAAATCTCTTATGCCAGTTGTTCCAAATGTTTTCTTGTAGGTACCTTATTTGGTAATAACACATCACCTCTGTTCTCATAAACCTTATTACTGGGAGTTACATAGAAGTACAATAAAGAACTATTTCTTAACAGTTTTATGAATACATTTGAATGCGCCAAAAGCCTACAATCTGCTCTGTTCCACTGCTGATTTTAATGAAAGAAACTAACTCCAATTAGCATTTTGTACTGAAATGAGAATAGCATACTTCACTAATTTTATTACCTGAGTGAATGATTCCTGGTAAGATCTGGTTGACGCTCTTGCAGAATTTCAAAGATATTGGGCTGCCGCAAAAATGCAACAATCTTGTCATTGTAAGCTGAAAACATCAACAAAAATATCATGCTGAAACAAGGAGACGCTAAAAGACAGGACTGCATTCCTTCTGAGTTTTGAACAATAATGACAGCAGACTTCACGGTTTTAAGCTTAGCAGTATTGTGTTAATGCTTTTTCGTGTAATGCTACTGATTCTAGTATCATTTAGGGAACACATTTCTTCATTATGAAACAAATCTGACTGTGACGCGCCCTTCCCACTGTTACCAGCTCTAATTTTGTTAGCAATTTCTATTATATTTTGTCACTCACCCTCTTAGCTGAGGTTGAACTAGAATATTCATTGCCAGAATAAACTTGGAGGGACGGGGGTTTTCACTGCACTGAAATCCATTCTCAAATATTAAGCAGTCATTGGAAACACCCATATCAAATCCTCACTAATTGCTGAGCCTACAGTGTATGCACACCGTGTCCGTGGCAAGGGGAAGGATTTAAATTAGCAGAGATTTTCAAGTAAACATGCCACAGTACAAAGAGCCTGTTATAGTCAATCGGATTAATTTATCTTGATTTAGCACAATGTGACAGCTGTTAGATTCAATAAGCTAAATTCTGTTCTTGATGGCACAGAAGTCAGTAACTTTGTGTGTATGTAACTGAGAACAGAAGTTAAGCTAATGACTAATTCCAAGCTGATTAACACTTTCTGGAACTCTGCCAAAATAGATGCTCAGAAGTTGTACAAAAATCACTGGGAATACAAGGAGTCCACAACTCGGCTCACTGGCTTCAACTCTTCCTCCTCACCATGTAGAGGAAGTGAGGCAGGAAGGTAGAAGTTTTACATCAGTTACTTGGTTCTGCACAGACACCTTGGGTATTATTATTCCTGCAGGTTCCAACTGAACAATTGGGAAATGCTGACGGACAGAAGTAATCCTAACGAATGATAACTTCCACCCACCCCAACCAAAAGGGAAAACCCAGCAGTACACCCTGACATGACACACTCAGGCATGGAGAACTTCTCTGTAAAGAGGCCATATGCCAACATACCCACTGGAACCACGTCCTGGTACTGAGCTCTGCTGACTGTATTAAACGTGCTGGACGGTCTGGGCAAAACCGGTGGTCCTGAATGACGGGAGTCCTCTCCGACCTGAAAATGTGCAAGTAACCACAATGAGTGGCTCCAGGCCAGCACACGTGCTTGGGTATGCAAAAGTGAGACCTCAGATGGCCTAAAAATAAGCATGTACGTAAATGCTTTGCTTGATCACTATCCCTGTAACCACTGCAGTAGGAAATCAACGGCGTGTTGTTATTAGTTAAACGTTATTCTTAATTAGTTATTAATAGACATTATTTAGTACATTGTGTCTATTAATACAAATAATCAAAACTGACTGAAAGTTTACTGCTATTTTTAAATGATAGTCCCATTCTGAAAAGGGACTAAAAAATTCAAGCCAGGATTCCTTCAGAAGGTCCTTTGTACTTCACGGACATCTTCTTCCATATCAAAGGCACTGAAAAATCAAATTCTGCTCCTTCATTAGCACCTCTATTACCTCTATGCATGAATGGAGTTTCCCTAAATCTGAACTGGAAACAAGTTTGTAGCTGAAGTGGGAGGATAAAGAAACAAGTTCACTTCATTCAGGCAAGTCCAAAACTGGTAAAAATGTGTTTCCTACAATCACTCAGTAAAACGCTTCTGATTTTTTTGTGTACACCGTCTGGGATTAAAGGAAGTTGCATATGAACATTTTTTAAGGTAGAACCACAATGTAAAAGTGTTCCTGGTAGCATTTGTGATGTCAGTGCAACTTCTGCAGTGTGCTGAGGCTTTAGTAATTTCTAGAATGTCATTATTTTGCATTTTATCTATAGAAAACATTTCATTCAACCTCTTTTTCATCCCACTGGACCTTCATGTTTACTTCTCCTCTGCCTACATGTAATGGTTAGCATTTAAACTATGCTTCCAATCTTCAAAGATCTCTAAAACATCTAACTAAAAAGATCAAATAATTATAAAGGTTTTTTTTAAATCCAGTCTCTGAAATCACAAAGAAGCAAAAGTCCTGAGATATCTCCCAAGATCTTTGTGGTCTCTGATAATACACTCAGAAAAATGAAAAATTATTTCCTGTAGGCACTGTGCTGGAAAAGGAATGCCATTATTATTAGCTCCAGCTTCCCACTGCAGTTCAGCTTTAGCTAAAAAGGCATTCCTTACACTGGTTAATGTTTGCTTTAGAGCATCTCCCTGTAAAAACTGGGTCAGTGGCTTCAAAACATCAAAGTTCATGGCAAGGCAAATCCAAAGAAAGTATTTTGAGAATTTTTTTCATTAAGTATTCATCTTTTGCAATAATGTCCAGTTCCTTGATGCAATGGTTTAAAAACAGGAAAAATAGCTGCAAATATGCAACACTTGAAGAGTAAGGGCAAAAGAAAAAGTGGTGTTCGGGTTCATACATATGCATATAAATGAACATCATTGCTTCACTAATGGGAATACGGTATTGAATTGCTATGTTTGAGATTCCTATCTGGAATTATACTTCAAGTTACAATTGTAATGTTATCAAGGAAATACTTCTAAAATTACATGTAGAAACATGGTTTAAGGAATTTTATGTATCTAGAAGGAGTGGGAAATTTTGGCAGGTAATCAGCACTGTGCATATGCAATATATATTATGACTTCCTGTAACATAAACGACACTTATTTTCCAGTATTGACAACTTCAGCAGCAAGGTTGGCATGAATCTCTCTAAGTGGCAGAACCTCTGCACACTGCTTAAAGAAAAGACAATTTTAGTGCATATTTGGTAAAGTTAAGAAAAAAAAAATATTTCTGCTCTGTTGTAAACAGAAATACTTGCTTTACCCTATCAAAGATCTAAGTAGCTACAGGAAGACACTGCTAGCTTCCTTGCCTGCTGTAAGACATCACTGTCTACATCACATCACCAAATTTAAATGCCATTTAAAACCATTTGTAAAATATACCTTACATTGGGGGTAGGGAGTGGAAAGTATTGTGGGTGTCTAAACCATGTTCACAGGGGATATGACAAGAAATGCAGCCAGTGGTATTGCACTCGCTTGCCGCAGCTCAGCGGAAGCCCTGTTAGAGAAGTGCCAGGGAAGATTCATGCTTGCTCTGAAACAGACCTCTGAAACAGAACTTCATCTGCCACAACATCCGAGCTATAAAAAAAAGGATAAATCAGAGCATTTTAAATTGTACTATCTTTAATTCCTGGCATGGAGTAGTCCTCCCTTGAAAAGACAATGTACAGCCAACAGTACGGAGGTCAAAGAAAGTATAACTGAAGTCTAAGTCACTGTACATACACTTGCTCTCAAGCAAAAAGAAGTTAAAACAACAATATGGAGACTGCCGGTGAAAATGGTCCACAGTGACATAACAACCAAAACAGTGTTTTACGTGTATTTCTGTCTAGAAGGTAGAGATGAAACACATATGCAAATGCATATAGCAGTCTCATAACCCTACACGTGGTAAGATTTTTTTATACTTATTCAGAAAGTTGCACATCTAGATGTATATATACACATCCACTATTTTTTACCCCTCTAATTTTCAGAGTTATATCAACATATTTGGCAGACACCATGCTAGACAACAATACATATTTTGGCAGCGAAAGACAGGATACAGATCCTGGTAATCTGTAATCAGATGCTCTCCTGTGGTTAAATGGGGTTACTGCGAATTAAAAGTAAGAGAAACTCATGTCTGATGTTTTTCCTCTGAATTCATGCATTTCAAAAGCAGCAACAGCCAGCAAGTAATAAACGTTTTTGGATGAGTACCGTACGCTTAAAGAAGAATCACGCTCCCCACAACATGGAATTGCGAACGAAACAATGTGAAAGAGGGTGATTCTAAAAACCTGGTGGTTCCCGAAGAGAACGGGCAGATCCCACTTACCTCACCAGCGCTGTGGCTGCGCTGTCTGGTTAAGTGCTGCCGATGGACTAACGCACTAGTGGGCCTGCTGCTCTGCAAGGGAAGCCGGGGGTCTATGAACGTGGTGGTGCGGGAATTGTGGTCAACAAAGAAAGCCTACAGAAGGAGAAAGAAGTTTTTTTTTTTTTTTTTTTTCAAATATAAATATGTTTGAGTTTAATGGCTAGTCAGGATCCAGGTTTCATTTGCTGATGTGAGGCTTTGGGAAAATCCTCCTCACATTACTGTGGCTTGCACTTCCCTGAGGCAGAAGCAGCACGACAGCTTTCCATCTCACTGAAAAGATGAATTCTTTAATGCCTTCCTTCATTCACATCAATAAAGCCCTTTGAAATTCTCATCTGACAAGCACCAGAAGAAGGAAGCTTTATTATGATTGTCAAGAAGAGAAGACTTAAATGTTTAATAAAAGTAATCCTGGTGTATTCTCCCTTTTAGTTCCTTATAAGCATCTAAAAAGATGTCATTATGTGGCAAAACCGTTCCCTTTTGTGAACTATTTACCATCTAATTATGAACACATTTGGGTGTATGTATGTCAAGTGTATGATTGCATCCTGTGATGAACTATGATTACAGGCCAAGAGGCATTTTTACCATCCTCTTGACACAACTATTTCAAGTTTGTTAACCTTTAAAAAAAAAAAACAAACTAAACCAAACAAAACCCCAAACCAAACAAACAAAAAACCCCAAACCAATTAAAAAAAAAAAAGAACACAAAAAGAAAGGTGAGCCAGGGACACAAAGATGATGGCAATGAAAGCTTTTAAACCAGGCAGCTGGTAAGAACTACTACATATTGGCCCATCAGCCATTTGCTGAAAGCAAGGTCACAGGACCGTGTGTCCTAGAAAATGAAAACTTCCTATAATTCTGCCCAATTTGAACTAAAAAGGTTTCTAAGCCCTGAAATTTAAACTTTTCCCAGTGGCAGTGTTGCACTTGGAAACCAACGCTGTTCTATTTCAACACACTTTGTTTTTTTCAGTCACAATCCTGGAAACATGCAGAAGTGGCAAAAAAAGATCCTGGTTTTTAGCAGGAGAGTTACAGGAAAGTGACATCTGGTTTGAGGAATCAAAGAATCTGGACCAGCAGAGAGGAGGTTGGGGACTGCGGGAGCCATTTCTCTGTTTGGATACCAGTGAGGTACTTCAACCACAGTTTCATAAACAATTTAGTCCTGTGGTGTCAGCAAAAGAAACATTCTCATCTTCCCTCATCCTGACCACTTGCTGCATCCCTTGCGTACCCTTCCTGCCTTCTGCTGGCACAAGTGTTTGTGTAGCCACACAGTGAACCCAGCTGGGGAGCTGGTCCAGGCTAAAATTACTCTTTTTGTCCCTCTAACCTCGGTGAGCCCACCAGGGACGAGAGGAGAGCAGAACTGGCTCTTTTGGCAGCAATGCTACCTTATAGTACTCATGCAATCACTGTTTGAGACTGCAAGGTATAGCCAGACCTGAAAAAATGCAATTCTTCTGACTGCTATGAAGGTAGGTAGACAAACCAGTGTGTTGTGCTGTACAGCAACTAAATACCATCATTGTGGCAGGAGAAAACATTCATACTTCCATTTCCCAAGGAAGGAGAAGCATATGGAGGGGCACCAAAGTTGCAAAACCTTAGAAACACTCCAGAAGAAGGCAGCAAGCCTTCTGCAGCCCCAACAGGGATCCCCTGCACCTGTAACCTGTGCCTACAAGCAAGGAATCACATTACCCCACATTAAGGAAGAACTCTGTTTTGATCACCTGACATACTTGCAGATATACAATTGAAACTGACTCTTACACAGTTCAGAAACTATGAAGTGTATTCAATAAATCAAATTTTAATTGCAACACCTGCGCCTAATGCAGGACTTGTTCACCTTGACAAATAATGTCACCTGCAAGGCAAGTATACAGATTAGGGAATATGAAACCAGTGGGAAAGCAGAATGAAAGCCACTCTGAAATTTCAGTTTTGGGCCTGGAAAATGACTGGAAAAGGCTGCTGGAACATATCCAGGCTTTCTGAAAATTTTGCTCCCAAATAATAGGTTTATTTCACTTATTAGCAAGTGGTTAGTATAGAGTTTTTTGATGTCCCTCTACTGTTTTGTCTAGTCTGGTCTATGTGTATTTGTAAGATGTGAAGAACTTTAATTGAAACAAAAGTTGATTGCAGTAAGTCAACATTATACTGTTAAATCACTTTGAAGAAAAAAACGTACTGACTCAATATAGGAGAAAGCACTACCCAGAGTTGTGCTACACAGTTCTTTGAGTTAATGCAGCAATCTAATACTGCATGTAGTGTTCTTTAGCATTACATTTAAATAAACAACTCGGTTTAAATATTAAGTTAAAGACCATCATGTCTTATTAAATATGAATGCTTGCAGGTCAGCTAGTAGCAGCCTACTTTAAAGCATAAATTACTATTTTGAAGCTTCAGTGAAGATAATCATTGGAGCTTCAAGGCTTTGGGCTAATCTGGACATTGGCACACAGCTCAAAACACAGTGGCTCACAGTCTTCATTCAAAAAAATTCCTCTCATAACTCCTGTCTAGTTATAATCCATAAATCTATGATGCTTGAAGAGACTGACATAAGATGGGTAGTGCCAAAACTACATTTAGTCCATTAAACATAGACAGTTGCCCTTCCAATTAAAGTGTATGAAGCTTGCTAAAGTACCTTTCCTTCCTACTGAAAACATTACTAACCAATTACAATGGATTCCTTCATTGTAGAAAGAAAAAAAAAAAGGAAACAAACAAAAAAAAAAGCCCTACAATAATTTATTATGCACTTGCACACCTTGCAGAGATCTAATTAAGAAGTATATACATTTGCATCTGGCTTTAAAATACGAACATATGCTTACACATATTGCACAAATGCAGCGGGGTGCTTATCTGTATATACATGTGTGTATTCTACATTGCTGCATACAAAGCCATCAGGCTGAGTTCAGCTCAGGGACCAAGCCAGCCTGTATGATGCTTCCTGCTACCACTTTTTCCAATGGTCTTCTGCCTCCCTGTGGTCAGTGACCAAAGAAGGTTCATCTGTAATGCCCATCAGAAACTATATCCTAATTATGTCAGACCTTTTAGGGAGAACTGCATGCCAAACCAATTTTATCTTCTGTAAGGGATACACGGAAGGGTCAAAGAGGAGTGGGCAACTGGGCTTTGCTGTGCAGCCTTGAAGGAAGTTCAAAGGTAGGAAGTTCCCAGATGACCCTGGAAGACAGCCTGCAATAAGGACAAGCAACCAGGACCACACTGACTGGGGAATAAAAACTCTACTACTCAGCACTGCACAAGGGTCAGAACGGTCACTGTGTCCTGTCAGCAAGAGCACCAAGCCTCTTACTATGATATACTTGGAAAAATAAAGACAAACTTTGTCTCAGCAGGGAAGAGTAGCCAGGGAAAGGAAATGTAATTATATATTGTGGCATGGCTAATTTCTACTTGCTTCTCTTTAGCTTTATGCTTTAATAAAGGCAGGTCCAGTTTCGGTTTGGTCTCATCAAGCACTGGTGTCACCATCTACTGGCCATAATCTCTCTTTGAGTGCTGAATAAGCTTTTCTACTGGCCACAAGTGCCACTTGTGACAAAGGCAATTCAACATAATGAAAATTAACAATACTGAGCCTAATTCAAAGAGAAGAAATCCCAGCAGGGATTTATTCAGTGCTTCTTGTTGCTTAAGGTTGTGGTAAGCATCACAGTTACCAAATACCAGACCAGAAATCCAAAGGTCTAATTCTCTCTATGAAGAATTAAAATTATGGCCTATTAAAGTCAATTGAAAATTTCTGTATTTTTCAGGAAAAAACTGGCCGCTGAAGAACAGAACAGAAAAAGAATTACTTAAAACATAAAAGAATGAGGGAGGCAAAGAACAAGGTTAGTGTAATTGCACATTCCTAATTGTGTTTCTAACGAAAAAAACAGAGTGCTTTCCAGAGTTAATAAACTCAAGGAGGAAACAACCCTCAAGCACTTCTTCTACCCTTCAGTTTAGAATCTGCCTGTAATCTTTTCAAGCATCAAGATCATTATTTATATGGACACTCACAGCTAACCGTACCAAGACTGATAAACGTAAGAACCAAGAAACTTAATATGCCTATAGTCCTAATTAGGACTTCTCATATGAACTGATAGTCTTATCATTTCCTCACATGCCTATCACAATCTATTTTTAACCCTCCTATCTTCTGCAAAGAATATTTAGATAGTGAGGATACACTAGCTTAAGCTAGATTAAAATTACATTACTATTATTAAAATGTCTGTGATTTTAAAATATTTTGTTAGAAATTGAAAAGCGATACCTTTTTTGAAAAGCAGTAAGACTTGCAACTATTCAAGAACCCTATTAATAAAGCTTACTACACACAATTTCTTTCCTGTTACCCAATACATAATCTGGGGGTGATGGAGTCATCACCCCCAGAGCTATTCCAGTCTTAAGTGAATCCATTTTAGCTCAGAACTGATGAACACTGGATCTACTTAGCTTTTGGGTAGAGGATTCACCTAGGAAAATGGTTAGCTAGTAAAGAAAAAAAGTGCAAATAATGCACACTAATGAATCCCACTCAAGATTTGACATTGAAGAAAGAAAAAAAAAAAGCCCCAAGGAAAAGTTTGACAGTTAAACAAGAAAAAAACAAACATTAAGACAAATGGTTCAACAATAACAACTAAATAAAATTCAGCAGATAAAAGTAACTTTGCATCTAATTTACTATGAGCACACAGGCAGAACTCCAGAGAACTTCACTGAACTGCCTATATTTTACACAGTATATAATTTTTTTCAAAGGATGTTTTAAAAATCCAAGGGAATCTACACAACTTATTTCATTGAAAAAAGGCTACAGAATTTCTAGTAATTTTCCTTGCACACCTTTTAGGTCTGGAAAACGATATTCACTTATGCTCTTGTTAAGAGCAACTGGGTCCTGACATTGCAAGATCCAACACCAAGCACTCAATGGAGCCACATGCACGTTACCGTTACCTTGCCCTGATGGTCGTGTTTCATCTCCCAACCTCTCGGCAGCTCCAGCTGTTTGTTAGCAAACATGTTGAGGAAGCCCACCAAGTCACGGTTATGCTGGTAGCGCTCAAAATGGTGGGTGTCCCGCCGGACTTTGGTGATCATGTGCTTCAAACACGTGTTATTTGTAAACATGCGGTAGGCACTCTGAAAAACAGATAACAAAAGGAAGTATTTTTAAAAGGTAAAATTTCTTCTTACTACAAAAGACAACATTTCCACTACAAATAAGTAATCTGATCATCTATAAAATCTTTAAAATTATCTCCAACTAAGCCACAACAGTATGAAAAAAATGGTCCTCTTTCCAAGGTTTTGAGATTAGTGTTTGATGCTTCTCATTTTGCTTGATGTATACAAAATTTTTTAACTGACTCACTTCAGCAAAATGTGAAATATATTACAGGTTCCATTTACCACACTTGCACCTGGAACTGTGAAGAATCCTGTAACATTAAAAATTGCTTTAGAAGTAGACAATGTCATATAAACTTTCTAATTTCTGGAATAATGAGTCAAATGAAGCCATAGAATACAGCAATAAAGTTGGTAAGGTTTTCTGCAGGACAGAGATATATAAGCTCGTAGAACGTGTCACAAATTTACCTAAATATTGTTTCCACCTATTGATTTTTCAAAAATACTCTCTCATTGCATGTCCATGTGTAATTTATGTAATAAAATTATGTCAAGCTTTAAACTAGGCTGGCCACTAAGCAAATGATAGATACTTTCTGTAAACCCCTCTCCCTTCCCAGAAAAGGAACAGAGAGGGAATAAGCGAGAGAGACTTATGGGTAGAAAAAAAAACCCCAAACACCTTTAATGAAATATTAACAATAAAAAAGGAAATATATTAATAAGAAAATAATGAAATATATTCAATTGTATTAAAAAAATAGTATCGAGTTCCCAGGATGATGATCACGTCACTGGCAGGGACTGGAAAAATCCCAGACTGGACTCCGCAATAGATGGGAAGTGCATTCAGGAACACACGGATCAGGATCAAAGGCAGAAAAACAGAGAGAGTATTCCTTGGATGCTGGCCATTGAAGCAAAGAGGGTTGACCCCTTTGATCCTTCAAGGTTTTACACTGAGCACGATGCAGAGAGGATGGAACATCCTGCTGGTCAGTTTTGGGTAACCTGTCCTGTGTTCTCCTCCCTACAGGTATGACCCCTCTACGCTTTTCCGCTTCTGGCCCTCCAACACGGAACATCACAAAGTTAGCTGACCTTGGTTGTTATAGCAATAAGTACAAGCAAGTGCTTCTCTGCATACCATTCCTTGGTATTAACTACAAACATCAGATGTTATCTGCTAGAAGCAAAAACTGTCTGAAAAACACGCCACTACCTTTAGAGAGCTCATTCAGGTACAAGAGACATAACTGAAAAGTAAAATTACTGAAAAGGAAAACTGGTTTTGCTCTATCTCAAATCAGGACAAATGGTGAATAAGAGAGTGAAAGAAAAGCACTGAGGAATAGCAAAAGCTTTAAATATATAAAAGAAGCAAATAAACAGTTAACATCCTTCCCTCCAAAAAAAACCCAGCCAACCAGAAACCAAGTCTTTCTCTTGGGATTAGCAACAGACAGAAGCCGAGACATGGGTTCTGCTATTGCACTGTACTGTTGCCTAAAATCACTCTGCGCCCCTACCCCTCCACTCTCTGGCCAGAGGTCTTGTTTTCCTCTGTCCTATTTCCTATATTCAAGGTCAACCTACACAAGCTAAGCAGAATCATTCAAATACAGAGCATACGGATGTATCAAAACCAAAACTAACACTTTAAAATTTAAAAAAACACTGAATTATTAACTAGTGTGCTTTCAGAAAATAGAGTATTCATTCCATTACTTCTGTTTACACGATGCATCCCGTTACACAAAGGAAAAGAAACATTGAAAAAACCTCTATGTAATAAGCAGCACTGAAGAACATGAAAACAGAAAAGAAAAATACATATTAACATGTGTTTTTGTTCAGTGTGACCTCTAATGTATTTTGATATAACCAGGCAATCCGGCAGGGAAGAAATCATCCCATAAGCAGCAAAGTGATCTTAAAAAATAAGCACCATTTTCAGTCTCAGAATTGTCTCTCGCCCTCTGCAACATACAGTAAGAAAGCTATTGCTTCAATAAACAAATGAGTTTTGTATCGCAAGATAGATGAAGACTTGAGTGAAAAATAAAAACTGTAGAAGTTTTAATGCCAATTTGGATAACTCCGATAGCCCACCAATTGCAAGGAATGAAGGTGTGTTTGAATTTATCCAGCCTCCCTACATATTACCAATATTTCAGCATCAAACACTGAGCAGTGCCTTTGTACACAAGACAACTACATTTGTAAGCACATATCTATGAAAGTCTTTCAGGTGTAGATGCTATACTTACAGGGTTAGAATGCAGCACTGTAAAGAACTCTGGGCTGATAAGGAATTTCACAGGGGGAGACTGGAGCAATAAAGTAAGTCTGGATCTGGAGGTAGAGTGAGGCAGCACATTCTCTCTTCGAAAATCTAACAGCAAAGTGAATGAAAAGACTTCCAGTAATAATCATTACCAAAACATCACTGCAAACAACTATATCGATTTTAATTACAGAAGCAAGAAAAGCACTAGGTATACAATTATTTCAGATTTATTAAGTATTCTCCACAGAATTGTACCTGAATTTCTTCTAACACAGCAATGAAGTTCCTGAAAATATCACAATTTTAGTTTAGTAACTTTTACTTGCTACTTTTGATGAAAAATCATTTTAAAAAATTGCCCAATTATTTGGGTTACCAAACATGCCTGTGTATAAGATGCAAGATCCCTGTGGCAAGCCCACATTGCTACACTGTAACTGTATGCAGATAAGTTATTTTTTAAATGCTAACTAATGGATAATAGAAGTCATTGTACACTTAAAAATGTTTCACTACTCCTTTTAAAAAAATAAAAATTAAAAAAATCACTGTCATTAACACAGCCACAACCCTGATACAGTATTTAAACAGCTTATATAAGTAAGAAACAGGTTGTCAAGGAAGTATCTTTCAAGTTTCCACTTTCAGTAAACATTTGGGTCTTCTCCTAGCAACTGTAGAAGTGCACTGACTTTTCAACAGTACCAGGAACTGAAAATATATTGTGAGTGGTATTTGCTACAATATTTAAAACTGTTCCCCCCAATTATCTTTGAAAATCAACAGGACATTTGGATGCATATTTTAATATAAATGAAAAATTGCAAATTCAAATTGGTTCTGCAGTGATTTTACTCTAAAATGCATGCCATCTTCTGCATTTCAGACTTTCATTCTTTGACATATTGCACTACTCACACACTTCCCCATGAAATCATAGAATCATAGATGAACATTATTCACATAGAACACACCTACCATGGATATAAAAGAACAATAACCCACAGGCAGAGAAAGGAAAAGAGAAGCAGTGAATGAGACTCTAAACTGAGGAAAAAGTGAAAAAATTAAAAAAGAGGAGGAAAAGAACAAAGACAGTAAAATTCTAAATATGGATGGGTAAACATTACTGAATAAAGGGATGGGGAAAATAAAGACGTTAATTCTAAGCAGTAGAGGAAACCATAAAATAGAAATAAAGGAAAAATAAATGAACAAGGGGAGTTTTAGAGATGCTTCTTGAACAACAGACCTGAAGCCCTCCCACCTGAGGCACGTCTATGGAGCGGCAGCAGTGCAGCATAAAGCCCCCTGAATCAATGCCTGAACACTTGGGCTGGGAGTGTCTTCCAGGCACACACTGGGGTTGCATGTCAACTCTGGTACAAAACCCGGGTGTACTTCTCACACCCTGGAAGATGCTGTGACATGCTTCAGATGTCACAGGTCTGCTATCATAGTCTGGGTAATCTGGAAACCAGAATGTGTCACCAGGTGGGTTTTTTCTTGCAGCTTAGAGTCTTATGAATTTGGTTTATGGAAAGCTTATTCAGCTGAACTTGCTGATTAGGAGTTAGCCTGAATTTGCTTTAAACCGACTTGTTTACAGAAAAACCATCTAACTGCACATGCACAAAGATAGAAAAGGAAAAAGCAGAAGAAAAAAGAATATAAAGGGAGAACATGGCTAAATCACAAGCTCTACAATGACTTGAAACTCAAGAAAGGTTAGTATTGCTTGGGTATTAGATTAATTTAGGAAAGAGTATTATAATAGAATATCAATAGCATCTGGAGACAAAGCCAAAGCACAGAATAACACACAACTAACACAAGGGACTGGATGGATAAAAAACTAAATTTACAAATGTATTAGTAAATTAGTAGTAGGAAGATGACCAAGGAGATCGCTGCTTAGTGAGAAGAAAAACTAGAAATGATGCTTGGAGATCATGAAAAAAAAGATCTTTCCTTCTGTCTTCCTTCAAAAGGATTACACCAACTAGACAGCCAGAAACTAAAAACTTTCTTCTTGGGCTAGAAAAGGGTTAAGAGCAGGTTAAAGTCTGTGGTGCAAATCAGAGCTTTTCAAAGCCCTTGGGCTTGATACTTGAACATGCTTAGGAAACTAGATGAAGCAATCTCTGAGACATTGGTGATTATTTCAGAGGTATGAAGAAGTTCTCAGAAGAAAAGAAAAGGCATAAATTTTATATCCATTTTTAAGAATAGGTAAAAAAAGAATGAAGGAAACTATAGATGAGTTGACGTATTTTCTATTCTCAGACACATGAACTTAAAGCAATGAGAAGACAGCGAGGTGGAGAAACATAAATAATCAGGATTTCTGAAGAATGAATCATAGCAAACTAGTGAAGTTATTTTCTACTACTTTAGTGGTATAAAGGCCACATATTTTGACGCTAATAAGGCCTTTAATACTGTTTACATTACACTCTCAGGATCATTTTGGTTGAGAAAATTACCTGAAACAGACGAAAGCACCCGGAAAGGGGTATGCAGCAGTTTGCAAAGATGAACTGAAGAAAAGTTATGATTTATGTCAAGCAAAAAGAGTACACCAAGTAATATTTCACTGAGATCTGTCTGGGTCGGGTCCTATTCATTATTTGTATTAATGATTGGATAGGGAGGACAGAATTTTCTCCAACTAGGAGATGCTGCAGTACTTGAAGAGCAGAATGGACAACACTCAAAACCATAGTGACACATTAGAAAGGTGCAAAGACCTGTGTGCAGGTAGGGATAATCAACTGTACAAACACCAGATGAAAAATGGACATCCATGCCAAAGATCTGCACACAAGGATCTGGACCTGATTTTAGTAGATCAAAGACTGAAGACTAGTGGCTAGTGTCAAACTATCAGGAAAAAAAAAAAATTATACAGAAATGAGAAATGTATAAGGAGTGTTGTACAGAAGACATGTGTCATTTCCACAGTCTCTTCAGTACAGCAGTCTCACAGCTTCATTTATTTTCTGAAATATTCCTCAGGAGCTGCAGACCAACTCAGACAATCCTGAGTAGGCCAACCAAGACAATCCTGAGTTGGCCAACAAAGTAACTGGAGACCTAAAAACACAAGCCACAAGGAAAGACAGAAAAGACTACAAAGTAATGATTTAAGAATACGTTGAGAAATTATATGAGCAGATCTACATAAGCTACAGAATGTCCATTAACTGGAGAACATGTTTTAGGAACACATGAGATGATAGCATTTGCCAAGCATGGTTTAGGTACAGCTCACCCAAACTATCTTCAGCATGGAGATAAAGTCGATGACTGCCCAAAGTCCCTTCTAGTCCTATATTCTACTACTTCAAAATATTTCCAACCCAGACCACACATTTTATGCTTTTTCACTGCAGATGTCCTGCCTATACTTTTACCCAGTCAGGTACTGACAGCAAAATGGTCTGAATCTCACATTCATCTCTTCAGCGTATTGAACAGGCTGAGCCGTAATCCTCAAAAACTAGACAGCAATGAAAACATTGTTTCATTTTCACCCAGACTTTTAGGGGCAGAAGTTAGGTTCTACCTTATGTCACTCTCATTAAATCAATGATGAGATGAGTGCTCCCTTTTGTAAGGGGGGGGAAAAAAAACAAATCTTTTTTTTTTAACCTGCATTAGAATGGTGAAAGTCGGTTTCCTCTCCAGCTCCATCCACAGCATTTGTATGCTCTTCAGGCCTGTCGTTAGTCATTGTTCTTCGGATGCTCTGGTACCTAGGGTTAGGAAACTGGACTTTATATATAGTACATGGTAACTATGACCCAATTCTGGCTCCAAGGGGGCTTGCCATGAAGGCTAGTATACACTGACCTCTAATTTCTGCATTAATAGCCTTTTGAATTTCTGGAAACCATTATCAGATTGTTTTTTTTTAAGCCATATAGCTTATGAACAGAGGTGGAATACAAAAGTCCTAGAAGCTCACATGCAAATTAAAAGGGACAGCCACATAAAAATAAACACATATGGCCAGCTGCAGTACCAGCTGTCAACCTGTCTTCATACTCAGTCTTAAAATGGTCAATGCAGTTTTGCAAACACACAATTCACAAACAACAAGGGTAATCCTTACCGGCGATTCAGCTGTTCCATTTGCTGTATGGAATTTGACCTCTGGAGAATCTGTGGGGCTGGGGGGGCTGTGGGTCGCTGCCATGTTGTTGTCCTGTTCACATGGTCCACATAAAAAATCCGTCCATGGCTGTCAATTCGAGCCTCCCAGTCTAAGTAACAATAAAATACTGTGAACTCTGGAGGTCATAGGGTTTATTTCTCTCTTTATTTTAGCTCTGTCACTTTTGCAACTGAATCTACTGTTCCATGTCTCTATTTCTCTTTTACAGGATGACTTCAGCACAGAACTTTCGTTCTGAAGGGTTAAGAGACACAGCTTTTCTCTGTTTTATCCCACAAATCAAATTCCCCATTAAGTTTCTGTGGAATCCGTATCTAATAATTTATACTTCTTTCTGTATTCTATTTCCCACTAACTGGTAATTGTCCCAGGGGAAAAAAAGAAAAAAAGAAATTATGGGGATACTTAGTCTAATTCTCTTGGACTGAAGTAATTTAAGATCCTATCTCTGGGTGTTATTTCCAGTGCAAAAGGCCAATGGATAAGTACCAAAAACTTTGCAAAGCTTGACACCCACTGTTGTTTTTCCTCAGCTAGTAGTAACAGTAATAAAACAGATCCCAGTACTCTTTCTGGGTTGACATGTACCTACGTTAAAGTTAAGCAGACCTGCCTGAGAAGACAGACAATTCTAACAATGAAACTCCTTCACATACTAAATGCATGTCCCAGAACTGCCCATTCTGCAAATAAAGCGAATTCAACTTCTGGTGTAAGCAGTAACTATAACACTGTCCACCGGTTTTACAAAACAAGCTACAGACAATGTTAGAAGTTTAGGCCATGGAGACACACTTGGTGAGCAGAGATGAAGGTGCTGGAACCTTGCCCTGACCACATCTCTCTTACTAGTTTCTCCTGAGCATTGTCTGCATCTCAACACCTAGGCCTTAATCAAAAGCTTTTTAGGGTGGTAACACTGTCTGTCTAATAACTGGTTATAAAATGAGCAAGATACCAAAACACTGATCATAGCTGGGGGCCATGTAACAAGAAAAAAAAATTAAGACATTTTATTTACAGAAACAGACATGTCTGGTTCTTGGGGCACTAGCAATGGCAGAAAATGTGCAAACCATTTAGCATGTCAGTTGAAAAACAGTCTGAGAGCTCAGAAGGTTTCTAAAGGAGATGCTCTATATTGCCAGTCTAGGTGGAAACATCAGTCACTGCAGTAACATTTTAGAAACTACTGGCGAGCAACCAATCCTATATGAATGCCGCTCCACAAGGAAAGTGGGCAGAAAAATGTCTTGACAGCAGAGAAGAACTGAATTCTACTGTAAGGTATTTAATACTGACAGTTTTAAAACCTCAGGCTTTGTTACTGTAAGCGCACTATGACTTCTGTCAACTCTTGGAGGCAGTCAAGTGGCTCTCTGAATTACACTGTAGGGCCTGAGCTGACTCACCAAGAGGGAGGAAAGGCAGGTTTTGAGACAAACTCACTGTGTCATCTCCACACGACAGCTGTGTGTTTTAGCTGGCCACAATGCAAATTACTCTTCTATCTTTATGATGCACAATCAAAACAGCCTATTAGTGCTTAAAGCATTTCTAGTGTGAACAAGAGCTATGTTGGAAAGTAAGCTCAAAGGAAAAAAAAATATAAAAAGGCAGCACAATAGATAGGAATATAAAGAGAACCATTTAAGGGCCAAATTTCAGTTCCGGGAGAAAAAAAATCAAAATTTTATATTATACTGTAAATTTAAAATACAAGTTTAAAAATAAAGAAAATTGCATCAAAATAAAGCTTATGGTGTAATCACTGTATTTGCTACTCAAAGCATAAGACATTTGAAAGTTTTTTTAAAAACTCATTTATGTCTCAAAAAAGCAAACATTTCAACCTTCTCTGAAAAATGTTTCCATTTTTTAAAAAGAAAGAAATGATTGAAACAGATGTTGCTGTGCAAAGGTCTATTTCAAAAAATAGTCTTTTCTGATTAAATAAAAATACTCAAAAGTTGAAACCAGAGGTTGTAAACAGAAATACCCAACCATGTAAGTATACCAGGAAGGACAGAATTGTTCATACGGTAGAAAAAAATGCAAAACAGTTTAAATTTGTTAATTCATTCTTCTGATTAAAGAATTAAAGATTAAAGCCTAAACCACTGTATAATAGTTGAAATTTTTCTTGTGGTAATTATACGTCCAATTCTGACACACAAATACACAAGTTTAAGCACTTGGGCAATGGCTTCTAAAGTAAAGCACTTGCACCAGTATCGCTATATACAAGGATATCGTCCATTAATCAAATGTGTTACAAATACCTTAGCTTGCTGAATTGCAAAATTGTAATTCATCAAGGTTGTGTGGTCAAGGAATGTAGAAATCGGAGTGTGATGTTGCATGTTATAGGTAGAAATACTAGATAAATATTTCAATTCTTATTGTTGTTCTTTAACTTAACCTACACACAACTGAAAGAAATGGACCTATTTTTCTTTCTTAGTTTCAGATTCTGGTGAAATAACAAATAGAATACAACCCAAAATACAAAGAAATTACAGTTTATAACTCAAAATCATATTCTAAATGTTTTCTATAATTTTCACTCTCAAAATATTAAAACTGTTACATATCTGGAAGTAGAGCTTTGGAAGAGAAAAGCTGGATCTAGACAACAATTAATATTTAAGATTTTATTCACATTAGTAAATGAATGATCTACATGAAGATTGCATTGGGCTTTGATTGTAAAGGGGCAGTGTGTATATGCATGCCCACGCATCAATCTCTAAAAACCCAGCAAATGTCACGAATGTTAGAAATCCACACCGCCAAACCTTCTTCATTAACATTCCAACAGTTTTCCCAAGTAGTTATTGTAGCGTATAGCTTGCTTCTGAAACACAAGAAGCAATCTATGTGTAAACCATGACACTATAAAAGCTGTCTCTATGCATTTCTCATTTATGACACTGATCTGAGTATTTCCTGTAACGTTCTTTGTCTTTTTCAGTATGAAAAGTGATAAAAATGCAACTGAATTATGTGTCTCCCAGGCATAATTTTGTAAAAACTAGGAATGGCCTATTGAGGTGGCAGTTAATTAACTTTATGATCTGCATGCAGGACTAGTTTGTTATATGTGCTGATTACACCAGAAACAGCAGGGAACAAAACCTTCTCATCACTCAGGGTTTCCAATATATAGTTATATCTGTGATCTGCTATCGGGCTCCTTCCAGTTACCCTCTCCGATTACACAGCAATCACAGTCCCATTCCATACTACAAAATAAGGATCTATTAATTTTATACTAAATATCTGAATTTCTGACTCCTTTAAAGTAATACAGCTTTGCCAGAGACTTCAGCGGGTCCCAATTTGACTTCTTTTTTTGTTTGTTTGTTTTAAAGTAATTTTAGCAGATTAGCTGTGTATCTTTTTACTTTGCCCTTCCTTTAAGTATCTAATACCTCATAGATTTTCACCACCCCAAGTTTAAGCAAGTGAATCAGTCCAACAATTGGGAGCAATGTATTTTTCATATGTACAGAAATTACAATTTATCTGTCAATTTAGGCTCACCTAACTGTTGCTTAACACCCAGGTTTATTTTAATTCAAACAGTCTTCATGCTGCCTCAAAAAATGCAAGGAAAACACAGCTAACGTTCACATAATCTGCAGAGATTAAAGGTGTTATGTATTTCTTTGTAAATCAGCACCGTACAAGCAGCATTCAGAGATTTCAGAGGGCTTGACATCTTTCTCTCCAAGCATATCACCTCACCTCCCCACCCATGTGCACTGCAAACTGAAAAGGCAGCACCGTGCCTTCCTGATTCTCCGCAAGTGTCACGTGGCAAGTGTGTATGCACCAGGTATAATTACCATAACACATCCGCATAGTTTGCAGACTGAGCACAACGCCTTTTACAAAACAGCACTAGACTTAATCATCGTCACTCCTCACTTGGAACGTCTCAGCTGCTCATTTTCAGTTCTCACATTTAAAAACGAAATGCAATGAGATCTCAGTTATGAGACCGAGGCAGGCTATCCCCCAATTAAAGTATGAAGAACCTCACTTGGTGGTAGAGCCTCATCCACTCTCTGGTAGCGGCTAACATCCTGACGTACCGAAGGCAGCGACCTCAAGGGCTGATGGCCATTGGCTTGAGAACCTGCAATCAAAATGCCCACAAATTATTTTTTCAGTCAATGCTTGGAAACCCTAGAGATGCCTCTAAAGTGAACAAAACATGCTAAAGCTTCTGCAGAACTATGATATTTTAGGATATATCTAATATTCATCTATTTTTGGGTGGCAAAGTAAGTTATGTCTACAGTTCTGGGTAAGTGATTTCTCTGAGATGCGCTACAGCCTTGGTCCTGAGAATGTCACTTCTTGGGACATGCTGCATCCACCTGTGACCAGCAGGATCCAGGGCACACAAACAACAGCCTGTGCCTGAGCCATATCCCAGCAAGGGACAAGGACAAAACTCCACCTGGCCACCACAGAAACCTGCTGTAAGACTGGGAGGTGAAACTGTCCATTGACCTTCCTTGCTGCAGCCACACTGATCTGCCAAACCTGGTACCTAGTAAAAAGAGAGTCCCAAATGTCTAGAAAATTATGCTAAAAAACACATATTGACAGTATTTGAAACAAATACCAAGATTATTCTTTCCAAATCAAAGAGCTGTTTATGAAGAGAAGAAATTCATAGATCACAAAACTTTTGAACTGCTATGAAAAGGATGCATTCAGAAATCCAGTCTGATTGCACTAGATCCAATTCAATCCCTGAAGAAATTAAACAGCTAATCCATTGTGAAATGTGCTTGAAACAATCCATTAGGGACACATTTCTACTTTTATTGATTTAGAGAGACAAAATTCTCAACTACTAAAACCATTTTACAAGTGGTAAGACTTTTATAGTGAGTAACACATTCCTCTCCTCCCATGGTTCCAGCTGTGCTAGAACTTGTCTGCACAGATAAGGGACCGGGAAAGGGAAGATAAACAGCCTGAAGTGTGACTAAAAAATTACTTTTTTTTTTTTCCAAAATTTTCTTTCTTTTGAGTATCCTTATCCTTATTTTTTTAATGTTAACGTATGTGTATATTTTCTTCCCCCCCCACGCCAAAGAAAACTGAAGTGTGACTAAAAAATTACTTTTTTTTTCCACATTTTCTTTCTTTTGATTATCCTTATTTTTTTAACGTTAACATATGTGTATATTTTCTTTCCCCTATAAACACGCCAAAGAAAATACCCAAACATAAATGCTAGTTTGCATTTCATAGTTCTGTGATTATGTCCCCCTATCAACATTTTGATTAGCAAGCAGGGTAACACTGTGGGATCCTTTCCTCCTCTTCATTCTCCTTCTCACTAGTCTCTCAAGAATTAAAACATATCCAGTTTCAAAATAAACATATCTTAGATATTTCAGTTTTGATTTTTTGTTAAATCAAAAACCCCAATGAAGTAGGGAATAAATCTCAAAAAGAACAACAACAAAAAATCTTGCGAGATAACAAAATTGAAAAACTAAGACCTTTATTTTCAGATGTTAATTTTTAAATAATTGTTACTGACTGCAGAAAGGTCACTTCCAAAAGTGCCTCCTGCAGTTGTTACCTCCAGTAGCTCCTTCAACCTGTGCTGTCGCACCCTCACAAGCTGCTTGGGCCCCTTCCGTTTCTTCGTCCTGAGACTGGCTATTGGCAGCCGCTGCCTGCAGGCTGCTTCTTCTTTGCCAGATTTCTTCTGCTTCCTCTTGGTCTTGCAATTCACCTGCCTCAGCCTCCTGTACTTCCTCCTGAGGTAACTGTACCGCAGGTAAAGAACCAGAAGTACTTGGAGCATCCTGCGTTTCAGCACCTGGCTCAATTCTAGTTCCATCAGTGGCAGAAGCTCCCTCTTCCTCCTCTTGAGAAGAAAAGGCTGGAGTTTCAGGAAACCTGGAACTTTCCAAAGAACATCGCATTTCAACTGAGGAACGTCGCACAGTTGCACTTTCGTTGCAAGAGCTGTCTGCCCCTTCCATGTCACTCTCCCCTTCTGGTCGGGTACTAGCCTCACTGACGCTTTCTGTGCGAGCAGGGTCACTCTGCTCGGTTTCTGATGACATCTGGGAAGGTTCAGACCCTTGATCAATGGATTCTGTTTCACTAACACCCCTTCTGCTCCCAGCAGCAGCATCAGCAGCATCAGCAGCTCCAGCATCTGCACTACCAGGAGGCTGCTCTGCCTCCTGAGCAGCACACAATTCACTGTCAGCCTGGTCTGCTGGTGCTTCGCTTTGAGAAGCTTGCAGGCTTTCACCTTCTGCTAACTGTGAGGGTGGAAGCTCTGGGAGAGTCTCTTGCTGGTCATCAGTTGATGGCAAAGGAGCCTCAGAGGTCGAAACGTTTTCATTCTCTGCAGGCCCTTGCATTACCTGATCTGATGAATAACTTAAACCATTTCTTTCAACGTTTCTCGTAGCACCATTAAGCATTACTAAACCACCATCATCTTCCAAGGAAGATGGAAAACCCAGATCTTGATGTAGCTCATGCTCCTCTTCATCTGAGTCAATGTGAAGCATAGCATTAAGTCTTGTGTCAGTAGGGAAGCTACTCCTCAGTTTTGGGGAGGCTCCACGTGGGCGCTCACCACAGGCAGACGTTCCAGGTCTGGGATGATTATTGTGTTCTATTGCATCCAGATAGTCATTTAGTGAGTCCTGACGACCTCTGATAGGTGATGATCTTGAAGCACCAGAGGTCAAGTCATCCTGGTCTGTTTCCAGAGTCGTACTAGTCCTTAAAGGGTGTCTTAGGATTGCTTCTCCAGAAGACTCCTCAAGGACTGGACCATTGGAACACACTGTGGATGTATCATGATGTCCTGCTGGCATGTCCTCATCATCAGAGGGGCTCCCCAAGTCTCCATTCACAGAGTTCACTCCTAGCAAAGTACCAACTGTTTCTGGTGAAGCATCTGCAGAGACACAAAGATTGTACGTGAAACGCAACACAGCAACAGACAGTTCGTTCTACTTTCTCTGCATCACAGAAGTGATATAAAAATACACATCTTCCAAGATGTCTGCTTATTTCAATCAGACAACTAAGGGAAGAAAACACAATTAAAGCAATAGAAGCATCTACAGCGTTGTAACAGCAGTTACAGAATTTTCTCTATATAAGTCTATACTAATTTGTAGGATACAGAAAATTTAACGGGGAGTAAGTATGATTTTAAGAGACTCCCACTTTGCTTTGAAAAGACAGAGCACTGCCAAGCATCTTACCAAGCTGTCAGTAAAACCAGCCTTACAACCAAGGAACCAGTTCTCTACAGCATCTCTCTCATATCCAAAATTAGGATTTATCCAAAGCAAGTCACCGACCCACTTAGTGGCATGCAAACCAGCACCTGAGATCACATGAGGAATCACCAATTGTGTACAGATATTAAATTCAATATACAAAGTTTATTTTGAGTTAATTTATAGGACTTTCCACTGTAAAGAATGGGGATCTACTTAAGTAAAGTTCAAGGATATGAAGTAATATTTACTTATTACTTAAGTAACGTTCTAGGATACATATAGAAGGGAAATGAAAACAACCCATCTCGTTTGAGAGATGGGATGGTAACTCCCACCATGGACCTTAAACAGGCAGAGCGCTGAATAATCCAGCTGTAACTAACTGTACACATCTGCAAGGAACTTAACAGTGAATCAGTGAACTAAAGTGCCTGACAACAAACTGGACTGAAGACAGAAGCATTTTTTTTAACGGTGACAGAGCAAAAACATTCATGAGATACAGGACTACATGGCTATAAAAAAGGCAAGAAGGTTATATCAAGTTAAAAGACAGAGCAATATCTCACTACCTAAGAGATTATACTAAGCCTAGTGAGGGAGAATCTGAGGTCATGAACATGTAAATAGACATATATGTCTATTTACGAACCAGGTTCTGCTGGTTGCCTTCAGAACAAGAAAAACGAAATAAAAGAATTGCCTATTAGAAGCATGCGTTCTCATAAACATAACAGATATTCTTGGTTCTAAGCAGGACAGTGTCCTGTAAAAGGGGACAGGACAGAGTGATCTGCATGCACACTAGCAGGGGAGGAGAGTGAAGGTGGAATCTTCCTTGGAACTGCCTCTCAGCCAAAGGTGTTACAGAGTGAAGAGAAACAATTAATTCAATTATCCTATCTATCCCATAAAGTAAGAGTCATAAGCAGATCAATTTAAAAATCTATCTAACAAAACAGGAAAACAATATGATAAGTGCTGGTGTTTTGGAATTCTCATCTCTAAAGCAGTACGTGACATACCTAAACTTTGAAACCCAACAGAAAAAAAAAATAAATTTACAACAGAGGCACTGTACACAAATGAGAAAGCTCATTATCACAGAAAATCCTACAAATAGAAATACATATAAACTCTCTCCATACAACTACCTGGGGATCCAGATCATTGATAAATTCTCACCTTCGTGAACAGAAGATGCAATTTCCACTTTGAATTGGAGATATCCACTTACATGATCAGCTGGGAGCCTTCTGCCAAGATTATAGCTGACAATCTGGTCTCTGCAAAAACAAAAATATTGGGGTTTTTAAATAATTTTTACTCATTTTATTTTTCCAGTATTTTCTAAGAGAGACTTTTATCAGGTAAGAGCATGACAGCATGCAATTTCTGTTAGAATCTTAAAATCAGCCACATACTCTGGCTTGTACAGAAAAGCACAAATACCAACAACGGTGTAAAATACCTTTATTTAACTGATAAAGCAGCCTAAAAAGCAATTTTTGATCATTTCCAAATACAGATTGCGTCCCAGCAATTCTTATACATCCCTAAATCTCTTCTTAAGTCCTAAAGAAATAAAATTGCAAAGGATCCCCTTTCCCCTAGCCTCATCCTTCCCCAAAGCCAACATATGTTTTATAATTAACAAAACCTTTCATTTTTTGAAACCTTCTGCCCCCTTGTGGTTTTTATTATATACAAAATTCCCAGATAAGTTTCTTCACATTTTCTCATTCAATAAAGCACTTCTGCATTCCTATTTAGAAGGGCTATTAATGCTTGGATTAAACTTCAAATACGTTCTTAAGGGTTATCGAATTCAGTGGGACTCAGATTTGATTAAGCACTTGTATCAGCTTGAGACATCAGATCAGATCCCAGGCTGTACATTCTTATTCGGCACAGCCAGAACTCACAGCCCCAGGTCCCCCCCCACCTCCCTCCAGCCCTCCTTCTCCCCGTCCCCTCATCCCCCTGAAGGGATGGGGGACAGCTGGAAGGAGAGGAGGGGGCTGCTGAAGACCTCCATAGGAAATTATTGCTATTCATACAAATAAATTTATACCTCTCCCTTACTGGAAGTGCTCCTACTGCAATATGAGTGACAGACTACAACGAATCCAAGGTCATTACTGAAATAAACTCCAGCAGTTTGCATCCAAACTTTTAGCAAAAAAAGTCCTGAATGAACAACGTAAGGCAAAACAGCCTCCCCACATTACTCTATTGGCCACAGTATATTGAATTATTATAGCAGTGTCTCCAGATCTGTCACAGATTCATCGCTCTGTACTCCAATTACAATTCTCGGCTGGACTTGGGGTGTCCTCAGAAGATTGCCATTTGAGGTTTCCACAGTTTTACATAAGGTTTACATTACTCGAGGCCTTCTGAGACTAGGGACAGCCAAGACATGAGTAATGTCTGCTCTGTATTCAGTTGAATCAATACTAGATGATTCTCATGCTCATTTATCATATTTTCCATGAAATTTAAAGCCACTTGGCCATTTTGTTACGCAAACTTGTGAGCTGTGCCGACAGCTAAAAGCCAGGAAGAATTTTGGTGCAGTCTGTCTAAAAATGGCTGGTTCTGGACTTTACCTTTTAATTCATTAATACTCATCATTAATACAGGGAAGGGCAAGTTAAGCATATGGTGTACTGTTAAGTTCTTGGACTTTTTTCATGTAATTTTTCAAGTTCACTCAGGATAGGATTTTAATTGTCCTTGACATCACCAAAGCGAAAAAGAAGAAAGTGAAGATGTTTTACTTGCTTGACCAAAAACAAAATAAAAAAGAACTAGCAGTTGATTGTACGTTTGGTACATTCCTACTTCATGTCTACATTAACCACTCCTTTCCTCTGCAAAGCTTCTGATGAACTGTTGTCTTTACAATGTCTACTAAAAAGGAACTCTGACAACTGACTGGCACGCAAAAACTGTAAATGGACAAATAACTTACAGATAAAGAGGTAAAAAATAGCCGCAAGATTGATTTAATGTCAGTTCTAACTGCAGCATGGCAAAAATCAAACGGAGTACTTACCTACATTCTTGCTACACATTTATTATATAGCCCTTCCTTTCAAAAAATGATTTGATATATCAAATATACAGAACTGAAGTATGGAGAAGAAAACATGAAATGTCTTCCAGAATACTGGTTGGAAAAAACATAGGCAAGAACTGATAAACATAGCAAATGGGTAATTTGCAAACTTCACAGCACTAGAAATCCCAGAGCAGAAAAACATTTGGGGATTTAGCATGGAACTGAACACCCTGAACTAAGTTTTGAAACCAGTCTGTAACATGGTGCTATGTTTGAGTCCCTAGCAGTGTGCAAATTTATTAGAAAAAGCTGCTTGCTCAACTCATCACAATTTTTGGAAACTCAAAGATGAAGCACTTCTTAGAAAACTTAGATTGTATATACTCCTGAACTGCTCTTGGATACCACTATAAAACAAATGGGCAGGATTTTGTTGGTTTAGTTTTTTGTTTGTTTGTTTTAAATAAATTCTGTATCAGAAGACATCATCAAAATTTTAAGCTCCTCTTACAATTTTATTCTTACTTTACTTACCAGTGTAACCACCCCCTTTGGAAACTTAAAGCTGAAAACTGTTTTCAAATTGAATTTGATTTTCTCCATTTATGCAACTTGTTACTTTGATGGGAATATCTGTGAAAAAGGAGGCCAGTGGTTTATATCCTGATTTTTGTGCTAACGCATGATGATACTGCCATGCTGCTACAATTTCAGGGAAGAATATATGCATTTTATTTCACCATCATTCCTCATAATTCCTTCATCCAGTGGCCTTTTAAACTGAATGGAGACATATCAACTTTAGCAGACTCTGAGTTAGGTCCTATACAAAACATACTTGGATAATTCAGTTCCTCCCATTGTCTTTCAAGGAATTATTTTTTCTAATTTGTCAAATATAGCCTATAAATGTAAAAAGATACACTCTACAATTACTGCTCTGTCTTAAATATAAAATTATACTTTTGCACACACTGCTGCATCACTTGCAGACCTCCAGACATTTGCTTCACACCTGGAATGTATCACAGTGCCCAATGACAAAGTCTCAGGCTCTTCTCAGTGCACGTGGCTGTATGAAGGCCTCACTGGATCACCCACTTGACTATACTATGGACCCCTCCAGTAACTACCATGAAGTATAAAACATCTTAGAAGTTTCTAAGTGACTTGCCATCTTTATACCATAACAATTAGCTATCAAAAAATGAACCGAATTTTTTTTTAAGTAGCACAACAGGTGAATTTTGAGTCCCATCGGTGCACCATTCATAGCAAAAGGCAATTTTAATTCCGTAGTACCACCAGCACTCTGAAAAATAATGAGTCACAGACTTGTAGTTCTGGCCAATTAGCTGAACAGATATTAAATAGCTCATTATTAAACTGACAATTAAAAATACTTGAACTCTAAAAGAAGTGAGGCAATAAAATCTGCTTCTTCTAAAAAATTTGCACACAATGATGTAGTATTGTGATAACGCTTTGCTTCTTGACTGACTAGCCAGAGGGTAGTATGTTCTGCAAAAGTAGCATTTTTTGTGTACAGAAATTAAGCTGAAAACAAATTATAGACACACATATACACAAATATGGGTACATGCATGCAGAACAGGGTTAGAAAGACTGACACCTTCCAGACAGGCAACAAGGCTATTAAAATTCCTACTACATTTCTTACTACAAATACAGTAGAAATTTGCAGGTCTATACCAGTAAGCCAGACAGGCTGCTTTGCACCAGTATCCTAGATGCTGAGTCTAGGATCAACAGAAGTTAGCACTAAGAATGTATTAATTTACCCAATTGCATGTCTCTCCAATAGCCTCTGAACTGGTATGGTTAACTTCCCAAGAAAGCGCTTGATGATTGGACGACTCTTGGCAAATTTGTCTTTAACCTCAATTTCCAGGACATCTGTTAGAAGTGCAACAAAAGAATATTTCTGGAAGGAAAGAACATATTTGACACCAGATCAATACACCTTTATTCAGAATGTATGTACATAATTATTACTATTATGCACTGAACTCCAAAAGCGATGATTGATGACAGCAGTTTCCATATTGCAAAATAATGTCAACACCATTTACTAAGCACTGCATTTCTGCATATGTAACTAGCCTCTCACAAAACCTATACCCTTGTATCATTCCTTGAAAACAATTGCTCAGTAAGAAACTGCACTGCATAAAAGCACCTCCATGGTCTTTGTCAGAAAGGAGAACGCAATGTATCCTAGTGCTTATTTCAATTTGCTTAGTAGAAAGCAAAAAGAGAAGGAATCCTTGCTGTACTCTATTGGGTTATACAGAGCAGCCAGGTCAATGCAGGAGGAAGGATGAAAATGTCTCACTCCAGGCTGTGTTTAGTGAACTTCCCTTCCAACACCACGCTTGGCATCAATTTTTTGTATGCATGACAGGAAGCCAAAGGGCAATGCATATACAGTATCTTCAGGAGCCCTGTAACTAAAGGAGAAGAGTTTTCTATAGATTTTTGCCCCAACGTTCACAAATCTTCTCAGCAAGCTCCAAGAGAACACTTTTCTGCACTTAGGGCCTTTAAACAACATGGTGCTAATTTATAAAAGATTTCTTGATGTCTGGTAAGATCACTTTTCCACCTTTCCCTACGAGTGAACATTTTCACAGTTACTCTTTTCAGTCTAGCATCAATTTTCGTGCAGTTTATGAATACTTCACCTTTGAGATCTTGTCTGGTCCATCAAGTCTGCCTGAAAATGGCCAAAAGATTCAAAAGTGGTATAGGGCAAATATATGCACAGGCATGTTGGCAGATGCACACACATACACGCAGGGTGAAAACAAATTCCCTTAGGGTAACAAGCTTAGGAACTAAAGATTTTTATTTTTCCCCTGGATTTTAAGATATTTCAAATAAACAAACAACAAAGTATGGTATAACCCATTCAGGAAACCCGAGGTCTTTGGGATATAACTATTACTATTTGCCATCTTTAAGACCTCTGAGCAAATCCCAACCCGAGTACAATGCCTCATACACACCTGGCTAGGCAGCTAAAGATGTTTTGAACAATATATAAAAGAATTGAAAAACTCTCCAGTTCAGCTGTAGACTTCAGCTAAATATATTCAAAAACAGCAATTAAATTGGGTCAGGAATGAAAACACTTTCTCATGCTGGGCAACTGTCAGAGCTGGGTTCCTGTGATAAACAGAACTTAAAAAATTGTCGCTCTCAGTTTGCTATAAAATTGTAAATTATTTTGCAGGAAAGAGTAGATGTAAAACAGAATCAATTCTGCACTACTAGGTCAGCATATGTAATGGGATCATAAGCTGCTGTCGTCAGAGCATTGCTACAGGGAAGATACAGCAGTTAAAGCAAGCTGATATAATGCGTGCACCAGTGAACATTATCACTTTTCTAATAAGCTTCAACACCAAGGAGAACTGGAGGAGAAAAAAGGGGAAAAGTAAGAGTAGATTTTCTTTCTATCTACTGGACAGAAGGACAGACAAAAAGAAAGATGAAGAATCAATTTAGAGATTAGAACCCTGATTATTTTGGTTTTTTTTAAGATTTTAAGACTTCCACATATCTACAGTCTTTCCCACAACAAAGTACCCCAGAGCAGTGTTAATGCTGGCCCTGTTCTGTTCTGCTTTACTGCTTGTTTGGTTTATGATTTGTGGGAACATTTTCGAAAGCCCACTCAATTTTTCAATCTTCCTAAAGAACACATTAACATTCATCAAACACAGTACAGGCATCTGCTCATTAGAAAACAGGAGCAGATCAAGAATGCTGCTCGCCAGTCCTGAAAGGGTTGTGGACTTCAGTCAGTGTTTTCACCTTGTTTCCCACTTAAATGTTTACCTTCAAAGGCACAACCTGGCTCTTCTGTGCTCAAAGAGAGTTGTGAGACTGAGTTCCTTCTCTAAGACCTGCACAGTTTACTGAATATAAACACATCTGGAAAACTGGCTTCTGCCAAACTGCCTCTTTTTCCCCCCACCCCTTTTCTGAGTGGTGCTGCAACTCCTCCCTGGGCTTTCCTCCCTCCAGCACTACATACAGAGGCTACAACCAAGAGCATCCCCTTCTGCCTGACAAAACGGAAAATTTGTCACCTGCTATACACAATGAGAATATCATTTCCAAATGAACAGTTGTTGCAATCACTAAGCACAAATGGTCACTTATTGTACCTTTTCTTAAAGAGTCTTCTCACAACATATAATCCATTCTAATTAATTTATTTTTGCAATCTACAGAGCTGTTGAGCGAGTTCAACTCTTGTTAGCAGAGAAGGGAATGAAAAACTCACAGCAGTGCAGCTTCAATATGCAGATGATAGCTGTTTCTATCCAACAACAGGGTTCCTAAAATTACTACAATTTCTGTCAGTTTAAATAACTAGCTACAAAATAAGCTCCCAGCCTTCAGAGAGTAAGGAGTAATGCATAAAGAGAAAATGTAGGGCTGGTGCGCTGCATCAGCTCTCAAAAGGGATCCATTACCTCTCTGTGCCAGACAGGATTAGTTGTGTTACTGATGATAGTCGACCTTCTTTCCTGGCCATGATGAGCAAATGTAGGAAATGTACTTTTCTTGCCTGGCTGAATGGACATCTTTAGATAAGGATCAGGGTTGAAGAACATGCCTTTTTTAAGTCCAACTGCTCTAATATCTATAAAGCAAAACAAAAAGGAAGGAAAAAGGAATTGAGTAAACTAAAGCTAGTTCACAAAGTAGCACATTCCTAAAATACTACCATAAAATACTAAATAAAGCAACTTAAATTTACTCATACGTTAACTGGATCCAGTGTACAGAAGACAGTTAAAGCAGGAAGTCAATGTTTTCCCAAGAGAACATAGGGAGGAAAGGTATCAACAGCCCCATTTACGTTTTAGCCTCCAGTCATTTGTGAAACAAAAAGCATGAACTTGTAAATCACCTACTAAGGTTTTTCTCAGTATGTAAGGTATTTCCACTCTTAAAAAGAAAAACCAAAAACCACAAAAAAAACATCACACAATACTTGTTCTGTTTCTGGGTAAGGAGCAAGATAAAAAACTGTATGGGAGGCAATGTAGTGAACTCGCACTTTCCCAAAGTTGAGACTTTGATAAATATAGCTTCAAATATTCATTAGCAACATTGCTCTGGAGTATGATGCACATTTTCTCTCAACTTAGAAAAAGATAGATTCTCTCACATAAAAGGAGGCAAAGTTTTCTGAAAATGCTTCTTTCTTCCTAGGGAAACCTCAGTACTGCAGCCCCTGTAACTTGCAACAATAATTTCCTCAGGTGCATATTCTCATGCCCAAGGACTTCAACGACAGTGCAAGCTTCAACAAGAACAAAAGAAGTATTTTGTTTACATAATATTAGATTTTAGACTTAACTGTAAAATGTTTCTCTGTTTAGGTTTGCTGAAGCACAAGATTTTAGTATATTTCTCCATTAGGTACCCCAATAAGTTGCATGCATTCTTCGTGACTCTAATACAACTGGCACATATACACTTAGATGAGCGGTTTATAAACGCAGTAAAAATTCACTGCACTAAAATGAAATGCCACACCTGTGGATTCAGTAAAAAAAATTAAAATAATAATAATAATCCTACCCACCACTCAAAATTAAGCTACTGTGAGTAGAAAAACCATGAAATAAAGGATAATTGACTTTAAAAGTAACAACTTTGCATGTGCAAATGAACAACCAAAAAAAGTGGTCCAGGAAATATGTTACAGACCTATCAGCCAATACTCCTTTCAAAATTAAATTAAGGGACTCCTCAGGCTGAGTCATAACCTTCTATTAAACTCAACAGGTTTCTGAGAATTCACAAAAACTATTTGTATAGTACTCTATGTAAGTCTATACAACCTATCAGCTCTATCCTATATAACTGCTGTAAGCCCATTTCAAAAAGCAGGGGGTTTTTTCTGCTTTACCCCAACCATCTCTAAATGTTTTCGTTGTCAGCTCTTCAAGATTCAGAAGCAATTTCTTCTGTCTTTGCTCAAGTGGAATATGCTTCAGTCTCACACAAGACTTCCCATGGAATAAAGTGCTAATCAAAACAAGGGAAGCTGGTAGACTGTACCCCTGCAGCTATTCTGCTGTAGCGACAGCTTAGCTCTGTTACAAGTAAAGATTTTTTCCTTTCTAAACCACCATTTGCAGCCACTGCTTTTTTACTACTTCAAGTGATATAAACAGGCTTGCATTTTATTTAGAGGCTAAGTCTTCCACTCTTCAACCTGAGAGGAACTGTCCCTTGTGCAAACGGGAAATTTCTCCAAATTTTTCATGCTGAGACCCATCAAATCCATTTCTTTCACTCCTGGAGATTCATGAGACTGACTTGTTTTCAACAAGAAGAAGTTCTAAAGAAATGACATCTTTCAAGCCACTAGAGTGTGCTCCTACAGAGGCTAATAAAGTAAGTGTTCTATCTTTGATGTTATTTAAAACAGTAAATTTATATTTTTTTTTAGCAATAAGTTGTAAAATAGGGTAGTGTTGGTTTTTACCTGATAGGGTAAAGCTGACTAATTTCCTAGAGTGCTGGGCTCCAGAAGCACCTTCATCCGTGCCTTCTACTCCCATCTAAAGAGGAGAAAAAAATGAAATATACCACAGAAGTTTTCATCTGCTTTGTATATGCTTGAGGATGATAATGTAATTGTAAGGTAGTATGAAGGGGAAGAATCTGACCAACTATTGCTCAATACCACTGACAGGCAAAGCTACAGCATTCATTTCTAGGAAAATATCTATTATTTATGCCACAGAGTGCTAATACACCAGTACTTGGAATCTTGCAAACAGAACATGTATAGGCTAATACATGTGCAGACACCAGTAACCAGAGAAAAAGAGACTACATTTTCTTACAGGTTTCCCTTTTGTAAAATACAATCAACAGCATGGATTGGTAATACATACCAAAGCACTGAGCTGGTCAGTGACAGCGTGTGTAACTTGTCACTTTCCACAAATAGACAATTTACTGTGCAACAAAAAAAGCAAAGACATCAAAGAGAGACTAACAAAGGCCTTCATATCTATGAACAAAAGTGCATCAGATATCTAAATATGAATGTGGTCTAAAAGCTTATGCTCCACAGATTTAATGGTATGCTTTTTACTGAAATCCCTCCTTCGGTAAAGCACTACTTCAAAATACAAAGTTTCTCATGTGTTAATGACTTATTAATGTCTAGCTCTTTCAACCAGCAGAAGAATTTGTCTTTCAAGACAGAGAGAGATGTGCATCCAGCTGAATAATCTATCATGAAGACATCCATGGAGCTATCTTCAAGTCAAACTGTTCTCCAGGTAGGCACCGCACTCACTCCCAAGCAGAAGAGGTGACACAGCCTGACAAAAAAGCTTCAGCCAAATATGGTGCTGGAGATTAATAGTAGTGATAGAACAGGAAGTCACCTGATTTATTCAATGATTAAAAAAAAAATAAGCTGAATAAAAACTTGCATGTCGATGTGTGTAGAGGAAGTATGTAAAGCAGTTCTGAGCAGTTGAACCCGTTGTTTGAAGTTAACGTATCGATAAATCATTTCTGGCACCATGGTAGCCATGAGGAACCCGCTTTGCATTCTGTTTAATATTGCTTTAAGTCATTACCTTTCAAATACTTCCCACAATGATCAGCAAGCGCATTGGAGTTTCACTGGAATTAGCAAACACACAGAAATTCTCCCATTGCAAAACTCTAATAATTCGTACGTAACAAGCAGTCAAACAAAGTGATGAAGAAAAAGTGATGACGTTGATGTCTGTTGTCCCCATGGGCTTCAGCCCCACAGTCTTGTGAGGGAACACACTGTGCCAGCAAGTGCTGCCACTGACCAACCAGCCCGGCCCTCTCCCTCACTGCTGGCTTCACGATCCACCACCGATCCCAGGGTAAGACTCTTCTCACTACAGTGCTCGAAAGTATCACTTTCCCACCCAGCACGACATCATCATCCCAGTGACTTTCTATGGAAAAGGAAGTCCATAAGCAGTGACATCTGATAGTCAAATTAGGAGGGTACCAAAGCAATGGGTTCATTCCAGCCGTATCAGTGTCCCTTCATCTACAGACAGATTCCCTGGAAGCAGCAAGGGGGGCATCCCCCTGGGATGGTGATGCTGCCCAGGCAAGGCCAAAGAAACACTATGCATTTCACTGTACTCTTTTGGAGCTTATTGTTAACACGCAATGTTTTCTTCCTAAAACATTTGTTATTCACCCACAAAAAGACCTTCCTCATTCTATACCTATTTTTCTGCTACATCACTGACTCTGAGCAATATTGTTTACACTCCTAATCATTACTTCGTTATATAGAAAATAGGATTTGCCCACAATTCAGCTATAATATAATGAATTGTAACAGTGTTCCCTAGCACTTCCACGGTTTTTCTATACACCCTTTTCTGTTCCCTTACGACCTGAACAGCAATTTCAATTTTTCCGCACCAAGCAGAAAATTTCATCCCAGCATACATGCTTAGATTTTTTTCACTACAAAGGCTTCCTCATCTGGGGTAACACAGCATTTCTCAGTGCTAGATCAGCCCTTGCATTTCCACTGGTTCAAACGAACACAACGGAATGCTAGTTGCTAATCCAAAAATGGGATGGACTGAAATGCCTGGTGTGATACGCCATCAGTACAAGGAAAGCCAGAAACACGTCCTCCACCAAACCATGTAATGCAAAAACACAGAATGATTCAAGTAAGCAGGTAACTTATTGCAGCTAAAAAAAAAAAAAAAAAAAGAAAAAAGAGAGTGGGCATGTCATGACTCTCTTACCACTGCCATGAACAGCATTTCTCTAGCAACAGACAAACAGACATGACCAGTGCTAAGAGAACAAAGTATTCTCTACTACACGGTGCTTAAGCTGAACACCAAAACCATGAAAATGGTGTGAGGTATTACCATAGTAATAGGTGTACTTATGTACAACTAACCCCATATGATATTTTTAGGAAGTCTCATCTGAGCTGTCATATGACATTCTCATCAGGGAAAAAAAACCAGCTCACTATTACTGGAAGTCTATACTGTCAGTGCAAACAAAAATGTTTCCATAAAATTAAACCTTCTAGTAGTAGCGTAAATGCTGTAGAATACCCAGGACGCTCTGCTACCTTTCAAAGGAAAGAAATTTAAATAGTGACAGCCAGTTAAACACCCAGGATTGACCAATGACTCTGAAAGACAGGTCTTCAGTTAATAAATGCATACTGAATCACAGAAGTTCAGATGTCCTTTTGAGCACTGAATCTCAAAAACATTGGTGGCTATTATCACAAGGTCAAGAAAACACACAAGTTCAAACAGTTTCTCCATCCAGTATAATTACTCTGTTTCTCAGTAACAATACAGTGCAGCACGTAGCCCATTTTAAGGGTTACATTGAGATGCATTTTTTCCTTTGTTCGAAGTCAGGCTACCTTACAGACTGCAGTTTATACATTGATATTAAAGACAGTGGCTGTCAAACTCATTAACTGTAACACATTTTCTTCTGTAAAATATCAAGAGTTGAGATGCCTGCTGCGAAATGGTATTATTCATAGTCAGATCTGACAAAGATCTGACAATTAAATGATGCTATCACCCAGATCTGTAATTCTAAGAAAAAGAAAAAACATTTGGTCTATAAAGTCTAGTATAGCACATACAATATCATGTAGGCATAACATGCACCTGTATATAATATACAACCCTGAAAAGGCGCAGGATCAGAATAAAAGCTCTTCAGTCTGAGTAACTTGTGTTCTACAGTATCTTCAGCGCTGCAGTTGTCAAGACAACATCCTAACAGACGTGATCTTTGTCAGCTGGTATCAATGAATAAATGCACTGTGAAACTTCATGCCAACTGAAGAACTAGCCTATTAGATAAATTACTTCCAATACATATTTAAACAACTAAAACTTTTACTATTTCAAAAGAACAAGTCTCATAATGAAAGTATAGTAAGGCAGCAATAATTCTTAACAGTCAGAGAATTATCTAGACTTCAGTGGTACACAAGCAATCAAAAAAATGAATAATTTTTGCAAGAACAGAGTTTTGTCCAGTCTCATTTTTATACTAATAATTACTATCTCAGCAACAATTTCATCTTTAATACTAAGACATAAGAAGACTTTTAATAAGGATTGAGGATTAATAAGTTTGAGTTAAATAACCAGTGTGAAAAATTTCTATTATGGTGTTAAATTACAGCAAACTAAGCTGCAAAATTTAAAGCAAGCAAAATCAAGTCCTTAGCATAATAGATTTCAACTAAGCTCAATGATTTTAATGTCATTTTACAATGAAAAACACAAAACCAAGAAAAGCATTTCCCAATTTTAATGATTTCTTTCAGGCAATATAGTTTTTTGCAAAAACTGCAGTTAATGATAAAATTAGAAAATATAGCAATAGGTTTATCTGACAGTTAATACTATCATCTTATAAAAATCCAATGAAGTAATGGGCTAAACTTACCATCACAGCAGGGTTTTTCACAGTGATACATGGAGTAGTAGCTCGGAGGGCTCCACTAACACCATGGTAATATTTAAAACAGATCTTTATTTCAGCTGAAAAACAAAACAAAAATCGCATTAAACTCTTCACGACTGACCCCAGGCAAAAAAGAGACAAAGAAAGGAACACATGCACACAGGGAGTCACAGTTCACTTCTGTTCATGGAGTCTGAGTTTGGGCAGTTCCCCAATACATCTTTGTTGTAAAAGCATGCAAGTAACTGTAACTGAAAGATATTTTCTCTCCATCCGTAGAAAACTGGAAACTTGACTCAAAACATCTTGAATAGACTTTTTAGGTAAAGAACTGGTAAATGTTCCTGTTTGCTTTTAACTATATTTCTACTCAGTCAGTAAAAAATGACCAGCTCATTTTTTCCAGCTCTTACAGCAAGACAGTCATGGTCACTTCTGGGTAAGAAATGTCTAAGTATTCACAAGCCATAATTCACACAAAGCCACTTCTGTATGTTTTGTATGGGTCCAGAGGGAAGGAAATGAGATTGGTGTAGATCTCTGAAGACATGTTCATTTTAACGTAATAGAGGTAATATGAATTGCTATTTTTCAGCAGATTTGTAAGTTGCAAACCAAAAAATAATTACACATATGTTTTATTCTTAAATTATTTAATCATAAAATGGGACCTCTCTCTACAGCGTTACAGACCGAGGCAGTGCTACAGGTATTATATCTTGTTAATCGAGGAAATAGTCAAAGCAACTGCTTTTTTCGCTTCTCAAACAGAGGGTTACATATTTTGATGAATGCATTAACATATATTATGCTGACATTATGATTTAAACACTGGCATCTTTTTTAGGCAGTTTGAACAGTTTGGTTTTTTCAGGTTTAGTGTTTTTTTTTTTTCAGATGGAAGCAGTAACTCTCAACTGAACTGCTTACCCCTCCAGGAATTGTGATAGAAGGTAGAAGAGCACAGGTGAACATGTGCTAAGTGCCCCAAGACCTCGAGCAGCAGCGGCCAGGGAACATGCCTTGCACTTCTTTTTCCTAACCTTAGGCAAGGGGCACAGAGAACAGAAAGACAAGTGCCCCACCATTCTCTTGCAGCCAAAAACAGGATTGCAGAGAATCAGGGTGGAGACTTAGCATATATTTTCCTGGATACAACCCTATTTGCTGTAAGATAACTGTGCTTTTTGTTGATTGGAGGAGAAATCATTAAATCATCTATTCCAATCATTATTGTGCTCTTTGCTGCCCCTTCTTGCCTTCACAAAATGAATGTTGACTTATGGACTCCAGAAGCATACACAGTACCCCAGCATCGTCCTCAACAAAGCTGAATGGTTCTAAAAGATGCTCCTCTGCTTCTATATCCAAGAAATGCATTACAGCTTCTCGTCACAGGTTAACATAGCATGTTGATGTCGAGGTGCAGAACACATGGCCTATGTGCCTTTCATTCTGAATTCAGCAATATCAAAATCAATTTTATTTAGCTGTGCCTAACTTGCTAAACCATCCTATATGGGTCTTCAATTGCTTTTATCCACTCCACTCATTCTCTTATCATCCACAAATGAAATCAGGGTGAAGCCTGGATTTCAAACTACTGATGACAATGTTAAAAAGCACTGCATCTTTTATTAACTCCTCTAGGGTCTAAGATTTTACTTTTTATGTAACCTGTCAAACCTTTGACTATAATTTAGTATGCTAATCCAAAAATATTCCTGATCCTGGTAAAAAAAAAAAAAAAAGAGACTAAATAGACACAACTTGAGGATGAGACAAATGGTCACCTTTCCTGTGTTCCAATATAAAGTGCGTCAAGCTTCCTTCAGGTACGTGTCATGCAACTTCTTCCAGAGTCTGACACATGTTTCTGGTCCCACTGAATAAAGTTTTGTTTGCTAAACTGCATTTACTGCAAACAAAAGAGTGTTATATTTAACCAAAGCCTGACCTCCACTGTTGTTTCTCTGCATTCCTCCAGCCCAGCAGAACAGCTATAATTATGGCCGCCCTTGACCCTGTGGGATTTTCCCTATCTGGAACAATCTCTCTGTTTTCCTTCTCCATTGGGATAACTCTTCTGCATGAGGTTGATAAGGATTTACTCCTGGGTACAGAAATGGCCCCAGGCAGGCACAAATTACAACAGTCAGTTCAGACAGACCAGGGGATGTGCGTGAAAGTTTTGGCAGTTCCATTCCTCTAACTGCGTTTAACAACGTCAGTATACAAAACTGCTATGTTTTCTATAAGGTTTTGAGACATACAGCACGATTCCTTGAGGGCTGAGGTATTTAATTACTGCAGGATAAAATACCCACTTATCCCTACTCAGAAGCATCAGAAATCCATTCTGCAAGCCTGCTAAGCCAAAAAGGATTGATTATTTATTTATTTTTAAATTTGCTGCTGTTATACGTCAACGTTTATTTACTATCTTCCTCCCAGAACAAAGAGGAGGCACCTCAGAACTACCCTTCAAAGGAAAGTGACTGGCTGACAGTGCCTCCAGGGGCTTAATAGGTGGAGGAGCTGCTGGTCCCACTTCCTCCTCCTCACAGCTGAGTTCACACACACAGTCAAAAACATGCTCTGTCTACCACAACCTCTACAGCAAAATTCAAAATGCAAACAGGATTTCTAATCACCTACAAAGGATTATCAGACCTAAAAATTATGGGTCAGGACCTAAGGGTTCTTCCTAGACTGAGCAACTCTGTTGACCTACCAACAATACTTATACCCAAACGGACACACAAGAACTTCTGGCTCACATAAAATTGGGGTTTTGGCACCTGTGAAAGTTGGTAGGATTTAAACCAAGTGCTGGACTCTTCATATTGTACAATATGCATATTAAGTAACCAGGACTCAGGTCTTGAGCATCATTTAATCACACTGTGAATGTATTATGACTACATGAGAGAATGGCAAGACGAACTATTTCACCAAGACTTCTGCTTTCCAGCTCCATTTCTCAACTCTATTGCAACCCAAACTTTATTTTTCAGAGAATTTTTGAAGCTGCTGTTTATTCAGTCTGCTGTCATTGGCTACCGTTTCTCAGTTCATCACTTCTGAAAAGAACCTAGCAATGGAAAGGTTATCAGCTGCTGCTTCTATTCACAGTCAGTCAATAAAGTGACAGTAGCAGAAGTTTGTTGTATGTTCTCCCTACACTGACGTGTACATTCCTTGAAAGGCTGAAATGCAATGCTACGAGCTTCGGATCCTAGGATTTCTTTCTCCCAATGACTTCTACAAGCACACAGTACTTTTCAATACCTGTATGCAGCTGGTGATAGAAGAATACAATGTTTGATTTAAAAAACAGATCTGATGATACCTTTTTATACAAACTAAACTTAAAAAAAATTATCATACAATCTTCAGGATTAACTGCTAGAAATAATTAGAGAAAGCAGAGCACTCAGAAACACAGCGTGGAGACTTTTTCTCCCACTTCCCAAGAGAAGCACCATTGATTTGGTTTGGGCTTTATAAAGCACTACACACAGGAACGGCAGACTTGCCATTACCATTGTGTTGATGGGATTAACACAAGAGAAGCTGTGATCAAAATTCAGTACGAAATTGTAAAACGGGCTACCCATCACAAGCATGCAGACATTGCCAATGTGAATGTGGGTTTGCAAGACTGGATATTGTATATAGCAAGAACGCAATCCCTTCATGGAACCAGAGGCAGCTAAGCAATTTTTTTTGTGACTAATAATGCTAGAAACTGCAGTTAATACTTAACAATAAAAGAAATCTCAAAGGAAGCCTGTCAGTTCAAAACAGCTGAGGATCTAACGTTTTGACATTTCTTGTACTGTGTTACGAGAAAAAAAAATGTTGATTAGAGCAGTTTTTCTTGATGACTGATGGATTCCTGAGCTCCAGATATATTGAAAATAGGTATCTGTGGCTGTTCCTGATCTCAGCCTACTATCTATAAATAAGGCCCCATAAATACACAGACCTCTTCAGAAACCGTAAGTTAAATTACCTGCAAACAGAGTTGAGTTCAAGACCATATCAATACACAAGCTTCTTCTGAACTTCTCCATACTACAAACTGCACAATAGCATGCATCACCTACAGAGTTATCCCAGTCTCTTTCATTCCTCCTACCACCTTGCTTTCATGTGTTTGCTTTAGGGAAAAACTTGCACTTCTCTTTTTTCTTTCCTACTTCTTCCCTCAAAGAGCTAATTAGCTCGCTTTGTATGTGATCCGTAATGAAAAAGTTAAGAGCAGTAAATCCAGCAAAGGAAAGACATCTGTACCTGACCACAGGACTGTTTTCTGTCTTATTCAAGAAAAATATGACATTTCAGAACAAAAAGTATCTTCACTGGGGGGGGGGGAAGACTGTACCTAGCTCTGTGTCCCTGGTAACATATATGCGCCATTATCACTGACATGCCTCCAGAAATGATATACACAAGAAATTCTTTCATTTAAAAATGAGGAAAAAAATGGAATTGAGGTAACTATGATTCTTTAAAAGATACTACACAGTCATATAAAATGTTCTATATATATGTTAATTAATCTGAATACTCTGTAAAACCATAATCCCCTTCTTTAGAAGCCAATAGCTGTTATCATTTTATAACCATAGTTTTATAGCTTAGGTCTGTTACATAAAAATGTTGGAATTAACAAAGGTTTCTGGGACTCAAACATTGACATTTGAATTTCAAAAGAATTCCTGCATGAAATTATAGTGCTGTACTTCCCTCTGTGGACCAAACACTCTTGCCTATTCAATAATAAAGAGATCAGCTTACACCAAATAATAGCTTGCTTTTAAAACATCTTTTTTTATATCATAAAACAGCTAGATTTTAAAACTAATTCCCTGAAGTCCCCCGCTTCAACTACCTTTTTACTGCCTTTAATACTTTAACTTGGCCCATCGAAAAATTGCTTTAGGACAGGAAGATACTCAGAATACATAAACGTAGAATGCATAAACACATGAAGATAATTCTAGAAGAATGCATTCTTTCCAGGAGAGTGATAATACAGGAAAACAAATGTGTTCGCTATAAGAGCAAT